ATGAATAAACAGTATTCTCCCACTCTTTTCAGAAAAATTTACCATTTTTCAAAAATCCAACTTGCAATCCTTCTGTTCATTTTTTGGTATTGACTTACAGATATTTTATGAACTATTAGTATTATGCAAATTAATGGTGCATCAATGGCTCAAGTGAATCGAGGCTTTGGTTCGAATATACCAATGAATCGCTTTTCGCCGAGCAGTGACGCCTAACGGTGAAAAACAAAGGAGAATAAACTGGTTGAATTGTTGCTAAATTTCGACCGTTGATGTTGGTATTCTACTCGCTATAAGAGTGAATTTGCCAACAATCCGAGGGTTGTTCACGACTCGTCTATACCTCTATCGCCAAGGGACTCTCTAGCGAATCTGTTTAGTGTAGCAAGCCAGGGGAAGGAGTCAAAGCCGTAATGGTGATTTGGGAAAATTATTCAAATTAATGGTTTATTTCTTTTGAATTCTGAATTCATTTGATTCGAATCGAATATCATCAACAACTCATCAAATGGGATAGATTGACTGAAAATGACTATGGAAGAAAATCTATTTCTCACACTCTGCGGATAGTAAATGTCAACCTCAAGTCTAAGGCCCACGAGCTTGAAGGCTCAGCGCCTCTTAATCTATTCCTAACAGTGCGCCCATGTGGAAGAAACTCCAATGTTGTTCCTGGAATCTTGAAGCCACTTTTTCAGTTCAGGGACCTAATAGCCTCTAACTTCTATTACATCTGGGTCTACTTTAGCCTTCAGTTTCCACACCACTCGATAAAGGTTAGCAAAAAGGGTAAAGGGTATAGCAAAAAATTATTTTTAGAAGAAAAATAAAATAATGTTTTAATAATATTTATGAATATTTAAGAATCAGAATTAATGTGGGATGTCAAGCCTTTTTTTATTTTGTTGTACTGGTAGCTAAATTGAAAGTCGATATTCATTAATTGTCTAATATTGCCAATAAATGTTATCAATTATAAGGAGAATAATTTTTGATAAAATTGATAAAATTTATTCATCTAATTTATTATTATATATTTTGCAAGGAATTTTTGTACGCCATGGTACATAAGTTTAAGTTTACAAGTTTAATATAAATTTTTTGATATAAGTGTTTTTTTCCTTTTTTCTAAGAGCGTTCATCTATTCTTTCGCTCGATCATCTCGGTTGGTCTATCAGACCCGATCAATTTTGCCCGGAGCCACTTTATACTTGAATTATCGACAATTCATCAGAATCAGTAGGAGATTTTCGAAAGACAGGTTCATTTCTGGTGGCAGTCGAATCCCAGCATCCACGATAAGAAATGAGGCAACTAACGATTTTATCCCATTTTATCCCCATTGCCTTTCAACTATATTTTTTTTTAAAAATTTAGTTTAATGCTACTATTGGTGGTGGCCTCTTTTACATATATAATTTTCCATAACCATTTCAAATTTTAATCTACATTGGTAGATATTTTCGATGTGCTATTAGGTTTTCAGCCAAGTTAATTAGGTTCACAGCCAAGTTTTTCAACAATTGTGTATCATTCTGCGCGTTTTTCGTTTCAACAATTTTTTCAAACTGAAATTTTATAGCATTTAATTTTAGCATTTAATTAAAATATTTTATAAATTATCAAATTCTATTTTATTTTTTCTATTATGGAATTTTTTATTTACGGCTAAACACTTTTCGTTAATTAAACAAATAACTTATGATTTCTAGCTTTAATCGCTGATCATTTATTGCGTCAAAAAAATGTGGTGTAAACTAAAATTAAATTATTTTATTTATACAGCAGTATAGCGAAAAATCCGAAAAAATAACATAAATAAATTAGTTAATGCTTCAAATTACAAATATACCAGAAATTCAGCGAATATACCTATTCATTATTAATTATTCACAGAGAACGTTAGCAAAGATTTAAAAGAAGTGAAAGAATTAAGGTGCAATTTTCGTGGTGCGAATTTTCACCTTCAGAATCCCTGACACCCCATAGAATTTATTGGTAATTTTTGTATTTTGTATAATATTTATTATGCAATATCTATCGACACTTATTATAAAATTAAAATTGAACTGAAAAGATTTTTTCAGTGTTTATTCATTTGATCTTTTAAAAATAAAAAAAATCAAATTTATAATAAAAATAATTTTGTAATTTAATAACTGAATAAAAATCAAATTTTTTATTTTATTTTATTTATTTGAATAATTTAACAAACAACAAAACAATTTTAAATTTTTGTAATTCTCCTTAATTTTCACTTATTTAGGAATATAAATAAATATGTGAGAGGCTTATGAAAGAGTCTCAGGGGATTTCATTTTTGTGGGTTCCAAATCCCCTTTGAGTCTCTCGATGCGACCATTCTTAATTTTGGCTAAACTTGACATAAAGCATAATCTATTCCATCTATTTCAAAGCTACAATGGAGGTGCAAGCAAAGTGAATGCGCATTCGACTTGTACAAAATGAATCACAAAAAATTTCTACACATCATTAAAAATGAAATGTGATTGTCTGAACCTGAATTCATATTTCCTCAAGGAGATTATCCGTCTTCTTCTTCTAACAGCTCTCACCATTACTGACCATTACGCTGGCTCCAACGGCCGAATAAGATTTTTCAAAAAGATTCATGCAAGAAAAATTTACACTATCTATGATGAGAATTATCTATTTCTGCATTTATCCAAGCAAAAGACGGTTCGGATTCTCTTTTAGTGTAATTAATTTGGCACTACTGACTATCAATACGATTAGAAATTTTTGCCAACGACACATTAGACGATTTCCATTACTGGATAAACTCGCTCCCCTTGGTGATAGAAATAGAGGTGAGTCGCCAGCATCACCCGGATTTTTACACAGGTTTACTCCTGCGGGGAATCGAACCTCAGCATCGGCGCTCCCTATTGAGCAAGAACCCACTAAGCCATTCAATTAGAAGACCATTAAAAGCACTTTTCATTTACCACTTTGGCTCAAGAATCATTCATCTTATAATGGTAGCTAAATAGGATAAAATTTCATTTGTTTAATGTAAAAATTAAAAAATGGACTTCCCGAAAGAAATTAAAAGAAAATTTTGGATAAAAATTTTTATTTTCAAAACTTTTAAATTTTTAAAAATTTTCGAAATTTTTATCTGAATATATAAATTTAATATATAAATGAGATTTAAATTTAAATAAAACAAATAATTTTTAATAAAACAAATAATAAAATAATTTTTCATAATTTTTTAAATATTTTAAATATTTTTTAAATATTTTTTTAATTTTTAATTTAATTTAATTTAATTTAGAGATTTTTGAAAAAATTTTTGAAAAAGTTTATTTTTTATTTTTAACTTGATTTTTGATTTTTTTTCTCAAATAATTTCATAGATTTTAAAAAAAATAAAAAACGAAATTTTTTGAAATTTAAAATTTGAAAAATCAACAATTATTTTGTAGTTTCATTTCTGGTTTTATTGCAAATAAATATTATTTAAATATAATTAAATATATATAATTAAATATAATTAACTCATAATATTATATAATATAATATTAAGTAGATAAATAGTTAAATAATTAAATAGTTAACTCATTTTCAACCATATTTTGATTCATTTAAAAAAATGTTACGAAAAAAACTAAAACAGAAAAAATACTTAAAAATAACACCGGACAAATTTTTTTTCAAGTTTTAGGTCGCGAACTATCTTCCCAATCTTCGAAAGGAATCCGAATTAGTAGAAAACATAACAGAGATATTCTAATTTATCGTCAGCATTGGGAGACATTAATTATTTCCGAGAAATTTTTTATGCAAAAATTCCTAATTAACACTGAGATCCATTTGCGAATACTAAAGAACCACTAAAAGAGCTTATAAAATGTGACTTCCAGCTGCAAAACAAATACCATCAAATTACCCTAAACTGTGGATCCTTCCCTTCTCCACTAACCTTGCCTCATCTTTGTTCAAAACAAGCTCGAAATGACCAAAATTATTTTTTGATATAAGCGTAGAGAAGATTCATGTTTATTTTCCAAAGTGGAATCATATCTTTATTGTATCTCTCACTCATGAGGCATTCTACTACAATTCCATGATATATTCTAATACATCTTCCAACTCTTATTTCTTTCACTTTCTCAGTACTTTAGCTGGAGAGGAGATATTAAGCAGATGCGATGCGGATGATCTGCTCATATTTGCTCCGACTTCACTTCGATTGTGGATTGATGAATCATTAATGGTATGCGTTGGAAAAATAATATGGCATTGCACTGGTCTGTTCATGGAAGATTAAAATATTATGCCTAGAAATAGATGAATAGTAATTTGCTCATTTCCCCCTATTATTCATATATCGCTCTTAACGATATCACATTTACCAATATCTTAGCGCTTTTTTTTAAGAGCCCTCACCATTACTGGCTAGACTCGCTCCACTGGTTTGTCACAGTAGATAAATATGCCAGGAAAGTCTTAGGCAATAGAAATATGAGTGAGCCGCCAGCAATGCCAAGATTTTTGGACAGATTTACTGCTGCGAAAATTTGCTAATATTTATTACTAATATTTATTGTCATTGTTGAATTGAGCATTAATATTGTCATTAATATTTTATTTTGATTTTAATTTATGCTTTGTTACCAATGAATGACTCAATATAAATTTATCATTACTGGAGAATAGCGAGAACAGCTGTTTGGATCCTATTTCTAGCAAAAATCTATTTTTCAAAAATTCTAGTGGTGCTAGCAAAATCACCATTTTCCTGCACTTTGTAATCGCAGAGTGAGCCTTTAGCAAATTTTATTAATTAAAAAATGGCTTTAATCATTTAAAATAATTTTATTAGAAAAAATAATAAAAATGATGAAAACCCATAAAAATTATTTATTCGAAATACAAAAATTATTTTCCAGTGAAGTTTTCGATTAAATGAAATGAAAACGGTGATTAAAAAAGAAATATAAATCCAATTTAAGAAATTTTTATTTTGATTTTATGTGCATAAGCGACAAGTTCTTCTGCATTGCTCCGCCATCACTGTTGAATACGGTGGAGTGTTGCACAAAGATGCCATCTCGGCACAATTGGCTCGACTATCCGAGCATGCAGAAGCTGCTCCGGTTGTGGCTAAATTTGAAAAAATTTTTAATAAGTGGCACCGCAAACCATTATTCTTAGAAAAAAAAGTTCGTAGGTTATTTCAAAAATAGATTAATATTTTCGCTAATATCGCATAGGCCATTATTTTCAATAGATAAATGGATAAAAATAAAGGTTTACATAAGCAAGTTGTGATTCGGCATGTTCCCATGCAATTCTGCTGCATGTATGCATTTTGGCACGTTAAGAGAGGCAATAATCCTGCGCAATTTGTTTCAGTATCAGGACAACGACCACCAGCACCAGGTCGATTGCATAATCCACAAGTACTGGGACAATTTGCTAATGCTGTAGCGGAAGTGAGCGGATTTGTGCATAAATCTGGACTGATAGTAAATGGGGAACAGTCAGCGCCTTGGACTACAATATTTTTTTCACAATAATGAGTAAAATCCATATAATTTAACTAAGCAAATCCAAAAAATCCAAAATTAAATACTATTTTCTCTTCATTAAATCCGAACTTTAAACTTTATGTTAAGAATTTCGGGTAAACTGTGTACCGTTAGCGCAGCTGAATTCGGGTGTCAAACAGCACACCGCGCATGATGATGGACATAATGCTTCAGCGTTTGCTATAAGTGTTGCATTTTGGCAATTTGGATTAACCAGAAAAGCGTTCGCTCTATAATTACTCGAATAAATTATTGAAATTATTTTTATTGTTGAACAATAGAAAGGCACAGTGGGTTGTTGGGGCGACGATGCTGAGATTTCACTTTAAGAACGAGCATAACTTGTCTAAAATTGCTGATAATAGTGGCTATTCACCTGTATCGCCATTGCGAAGATACTTACTCTCTAGTTAGTGCGATATGCCAGAAGAGCGAGTCTAACTATCAATAGTGAGTGTTCTCAAAAAAAAATTGTCGAAACTACAAGGCTCATTGTGAATGCAGAAAAAATACTTACGGATTCGCATTGTTTGCTGCATCTGAACCCAAAGGAGCGAAGACAGCCGTGCAAAGGATCGGATCTTTATCTTGGCAAGCACTTGGAGGTGGCGAAGGTCGAGCAACAGCAGGAGCAGGGGCTGCAAGGCATTTAGTAAGAGCAAGTCCTCCCGATTCGGATTCTTTCAGGATGCTAAGAAGAAATAGTAAAGCGAACATTTTCGATAAATGGGTAATACTCCCCGACTTTTTATAGTGAATTTTTCCCTAAAGATATGCTAAAAATAGCATTTATTATTCCACCTGCTAATCGCTATTCTCCTTTTTTTATTGCTATAATTAGCAATAATATCACATATCACTGATAAACAGTTTTCCTCTGTTATTCGTGGATAAAGTCTTTTTATTTTTTGAAAATGAGAATTCATCTCTTTTTCATCATTTTTTAGCAATTAGTTACAATTTTTTAAATGAATTATTACTTAATTTAGTGGTTAATCTATTTGCTTAAATTTGTTTAATTCGAAGCTAATTTAATGATACTGCGAAAATTTAATTATCCACGTTTAAGGCATTCTTAATAAATGTTACATCAGGTGAGTAGAAAAAAAATTGCTACCAATAATCAAATCTCTAATCCGCCTATGCACCATTCTTCGCACCATTCTTCGTCGGTCGAGACTGTCGCCTAACGGAGAAAAGCAAAATGGAAATGGTTAAGTGGGTTGTTGCTGGATAACGTTGAAGTAGACGTTAAAGTTTTGCTTCTTTACAAGAGTAAACTTGTCGAAAATTGCTGACGACTCACGTGTCATATATCGCTTTTATCGCCAAAGGGCTGCCTGGTTTCTTTGATAAGCCAGTACGAGTCTTATCAGCAATCTATGAAAAAAATTTCAAAAATATAATCAACGCTGATTTTAGATTGATCTTGCGCATAACTCGTTGATTTGGACAAGTTGAATTAATAAAAATAGCAATATGCCAAATTCTTAATACAATATATTAAAATTATTTTTTAAAATTTCCTACTAAACTATTAATTATAGATAATTGGGCCTTTTTTTTCAGCAAAAATATTACTATACTCGGTTAAAGCGACGATATTTTTTAATAAATATACAAAGTGGATACTAAAATTTACAGTTCCAATATAAATTGTAACTTATAATTTACAAAATTGACCAAAAGCTTTATTTTTAAGAAATCTCAGAGAATTTCTGATTATTTTAAATATTTTTGAAATGCATTATTTAAAAATAACTGCAGAAAATATTAAGAATTAAGAATATCGGTGCCTTATTTTTCGCGTTTAATTTTGCTTTTTGCTTTTTCCATTTAAAATATTAACGAATTAGTTAAAATATTAAAAAACGTTCTATTTAAAAAAAAACTGCAGAAAAAAACGTTTTTGTTTCATTATTTATTAATTATTTCAGCGAAAATTTTTTTCAATCAAAATTATTTAAAATTTTATTTATATAAATTTAATAAATAGACAACGATAATTGTTTATCACTTTTTGATAAGCAAATAAATGGTTAACGATTTTTATTTTTAATCGTTATTTATAGTTTAAATGCTAAAAAAAACCTATCAATAAACAAATAATGAAAAATCGAAAAAAAATTCTAAAAATAGAATTTTATGTGGAATTTTAATAGAATAAAAATAAAATATTTATAGTTTCAATCGAAGGCAAGAAAGGTATTTTTGTATATTATCGCTTTAATGTCAGTTTGCCTTCACTTTTTGTTTTATTTTTTTCTAGGAATATTTACAGTGATTAATCTCGTTCCGCTGCTTCGTTGGCCCAAACAGCATTTGCCACATTTGGCAAATTTCTTGCATGCACTCGGATTTTTGGAAGATTTGGTCTTTCTAAAATAGAGCCGAGTATCCACGTCTCAAATGAGATAGATAAATAACTCATTAAGTTATTTTGTCCTTATTTATTAATGCGTGTAAATTAAAAATCCTTATCCTTTGGAAATTTTTCGATGCTCCTCAATATTTCATATTTTATGAACGACGTCCACAAACCTCGTTAAAGGCTTTCTTCAAAGCTACCATGTACTTCACTATAAATCACTATCTTAGATTACTTTCATACAATTGCTTTACAACCTTCTCACATTCAAAGTGGCCCCTTTACAATGTTTTCAGTTAGAATTTAAAATATAGCTATTCTATAACTTTTCTAAATATTCTATTTTATTCTATAACTTCAAATATTTATTACAAAATATTCTACAACTTCAAATGCTTCTGAAAATCGCTGCATTTCCTTAACACTCCTTCAAATCTTCCTATAATATATTTGAACTCCAATTCTTATTATTTACTCTCTTCCTGCAATATTCTCTAACCCCGAGGTATACCATATTGCCTCTTGTGGCCTTATGATTCTTAGCTGTGGCAACTGGCCATGATAGTGTTTCAATAAAACATGGTGGAAGCGATGCAAAGGAGTTTCTGACCTCACCCAGTTTGTTGCTAATGTACTTCTAATTAATTAATTAATTAACAAGTTAATTTAACAAAACTAAGATAAATTTTAAATTCTAATTGAAAATATTTAAAAGTATAAAAAATTTTTCTATTTATTTTATATGCATAATAATTTACGGGAGCTGATCGTTTCAAAATAAATAAATTTTATATTTTAATTAAAAAAATTCAATGCTCCTACCATTCCTTATTAGTAATTATGATTTTTCTAACAATGTATCCAAGGTGATGCTGGTGCCTCACCAAGATTTTTATTGCTAAAAGACTCTCTAACATATTTTCTCGTACGATAAGCCGAGGGGCTCGAATCTAATCAATACTAGTGAGGGCTCTTAAAAAAATTAAATTAAATCCGAAATTTCCAGTTCTCATTGATATCTACAATAAATATTTCTTGATAGAATAGTAGTAAAAATGTCTTAAAATGGTTTGGCTTCACTTCCATATATGTAGTTTAGTTTTATATAGTTTTTTATATTCTCCATTTGCAGACTTATATTCGAACTGATAAACATTGTCCTTATGATTCGAATAATATCTACAAATCAGTTGATTGTTATCTAATCTAATATTTATCATTCAATCCTACATAGTTGCCTTATTATTTTGAATATTATTTTTTGATAATAGAGAAGGCAAAAAGTTCTAATAGACTGAATAAATTGATAAAATTATAAATTAATTGATAAAAATATATTTTCTTTGACTAAAATTGAAAATTTTCTATTAAAGTAAATAAAAAAGAAAGGAAATCTCATATTCCTCTTACAAGAATTACATGGATTGTAGTAAATTTTTATCATAATTTTCGGTTAAATGCTACAGTAGAAGTAGAAGTAAATCATTATATTTGAAATGCTTAGTTATAAATCTTTATGTTATCAATAAATGATCATCAAGCAATATTAATTAATTCTGGCACTTAGTACCGTTAAAAATCTTTACCGAAGGAATCATTGGCGATGATTGCTAATAGAAATAAAAGTAATACGTTAATATCACCTGGAATTTTTGACAGATTTACTACTGTTAAGGCAGCAACGAAATAACTATACTACTTAAGACTATCTCTGTCCTATTCTTCTTCTTTCAACAGTTCTCACCATTATTGATTAAGCTGGTTCATCTGGCTACAAGAATAAGATGTCTCCAAGCTGCTTGTCCGATACCATCACTAGTAGTAATAGAAGCCATTCCTTTTTTCCATCGTCTAAGTCCATATATCACTGGTCCCCCTATACGCTCAAAATCTTTCCTGACTGTATCAGTCCAGTGAATGCAGATATTTGCATGGAAATTGATTTAATATTTTGAAATATGATTATTATTATTATTTATTATTGGCATTATTTCATGTTCTTTATTTTACATATATTTTCATTTTTTTATGCCTCGACACCAGCAAAGAAGAATATTCTTCTTGGTTTTTTGTATAGATGAATAAATAAATAAAAGATATCCGTAATACCAAGTAATCTACCAGCACTTCAATAGTAATAAAGTAGCAGTAATGCTGGGTAAGGTAACATTCAATAACATTAATATATATTCAAGCCCATATAAATGTTTCAGTTAACTACACATTCGAGACCATATGTTCTATACAAATCGTCCAATCCTTTGTTATACTCATTATGCTGTAAATCGCCACACCATATTTTTATCTGAAAATTCTGTATTAATAATAAATATAATTCTTAGTAATATGGAAATATAGATTTCTTTCTTTTCAATTTAGATTTAAATTAGATTTAAAATTAGATTTAAAATTAAATTAGATTTAAATTAGAATTAATTTTTTCAATTTAAATATAAATATAAATTGAAGAAAAATATGTGAAAACATTGCCTTTATTCGATTTTAAGCCAAAATCAAATAAAGTTGGCAGTTTGCTTTGTTTAATTTAGGCGCTTTGGAAAACTTGATAACCACAACAGTTACAAGTGGCAAAAACGCCTTCATAATTTATTTATTTCTTTTTTTATTTTGAAAAACTTTTCGCTAGTCAAATGAATTAACGCAATTTTTATAATTTTTGTATATTAAAAATGTAAATTTTTTGCTTATATATTAAAGCAATAAAACAATATTTACCTGAAGAAAAAGTTGTTACCACAACCATGAATAATTCATTCTTCTTCCCGGTTGCTATTTCTTTTTCTATTTTTTATTTTCTTCGATTTTGTTTTTAAAGTAATTCGATCGTTGAGAACCAATCGCACCAATGAAACTGATTCTATGTGCCCTTACAATAAATTTAAAAAAAACACATTTTCGAAGTAAACTTCATAAAGCAATAAATTTACAAAGCATTAATATTTATATTTAATTTAATTTATATTAAGACAACATATTATTACAACAAGAGAATTTTGTATTCACATTTTATTTGATAGGGTGAAGTTTACGCGTTTACGTTTCACTAATTTTGGAACCGTATTCAAATGAGGAAGATCCATACCTTTTATTAAATCTGCTTATTTAATTTATTAACCCAACAAAACAATTGATACATATTTCATTACATGCTAAATTTTAAGCTAGATATTAAAATCATGCAGGCCGACACTTCGAATAAATTTTAGCCACTTCTGCGATTCAAGGCCTAAGGTTTCAAAAACGAGTATTAGTATTTTAGCGTAATGATCAGCGAAGATAGCCAAAGTAAAAGCAGCAGGCATTATTTCAAAAAGAGATAGTTCTTTCATGATCTCTTAACAACTACCTATACAAATTTAAAAGGTGCACTAAATCTATAAAGCAAAAATCTGCGATCATCATAAAAAATTCAAAAATTATTAAAATGTGCCTCCTCACCCATCACTACCCATCATCCATCATTTTTGTCAAATATACCTATAATATTCTTTTGACCAATATATCTTTACAACTTTTAACAAGTAAAGAAACAGATTAGGTATTACAAAACATTACAAAATATAACCAGACTGATACCATTAACAAAGAAAATAGTAAAATTGTAACGACAAAATAAAGCAAAGTTTGAAATAAATTTTTTCGAAAAAACTGAAAAAAAGCTTAAAAAAAGCAAAATATATCGTAAAATGAGGTAAAAATTATGTAAAATAAAAAAATTATTGTTATATATTTCAAAACAAAATAGACCATAATAAGATAAATTCATTGTTCTGCGGTTGGATCTGAAAATTGATAAGTAATAAACGAAATATTATGCAGAGAACTGCTGGAATTCCTAAAGATCCTTTTAAAGGATTCAAAACTTTTTCATAAAATTTGAGTTAATCGTCCTTATGTCAAACTTTACAGAGAGATGCAAAAAAGTAATAATGCTAATTATTTATAAAACCAATGCCAAAATGCCAATTTCAATTAATATGTAAAAAATTTATTACCATTTCAATCAACAGATAAAACTAATATAAATGTAAATTATTAAAGAACCTCCATACTTTCAATAACATAAAATGACTTCCATCGCAAAAAGTTTCAAGACCACTGCTTAAGAGAAATAGAATGTGTCTCATGAATCGTATTTTCATATTTCATATCAATTTTGTTTAAACTTCTGCTATCATTACATGATTTTCAAAAAAATCAAATACTGAAATATGTACCAAACAGCTTATGCTTCCATCGCATTAGAAGACTTCTTTTTCATATACTCTTCCAATTCCTTATCTAGTTCAGCATCTGTCATTTGTCTTCGCTTACCTTCATTCCTTTCTAAACGACGACGATTCGAGAAATTCTTGTTCTATAATCAAAAGAACATTAAAAATACTTCGAACCATGGAATATGACCAAACAATAGACAAAATATGGTAAATATGGTAAAAAAATTTTTTGAAAAACAAAAAATCTTTGCAAAGATGACATTTCTGGGAAATTTACCTTTTTTACTAATTAAAAGTTATTAATAATTGCAGAAAAAAGCAATTTATGCTCGCGCATAAATAAAAAATTTACTCGTGGTGGGAGACGTTTATGTACAATCGTTTTACGTGATTGAGTAGCTCTTGGAAGGATTAAACGCTTTTTAATACTTGGCATAATAGAAGGTGCAATAGTTGAATTTTCATCAATTAAATACATATGCATTGTCGAACCTACAAGCACCACATTTTAAGCAAAAATTCATTAAAGAATAGAATAATTTAAATAATTTAAAACGAAAAATCAACTTAAACAACAAAAAATTAGAAGGATTACGAATATTTTTATTGGCCTACCATCAACAGAAACACCTGAATAGTTTAATTGAATTTCTTCCGCAGATGCTCGATCTGTGACAACATCCGCTGTTCCAGTTGATTCACCAAATTCATCATAATATACATTTGCAGATTCTATAGGATAATCTTCGAGAAGCTCCTAAGAAAAAAAAAATACAAATGAAATTTGACAGAGAAATGAAATTTTTAAACCAATTCTTCTTCTTCTTCTAACAGCTCTCACCATTACTAGTTAGGCTGGCTCCAACGGCTACAAGGGTGAGACGCTTCCAAACGGCACGGTCTGATGTCATCGTCGACAGTAATGGAAGCCATTCCTTTTTCCATCGTTTAAGTCCATATATTGCTGGTCCATCTATACGTTCAAAATCTTTTCTCACCGTATCAGCCCAGGTCTTGATTGGCCCACCTCGCTTTTGACGCCAACCGTCACACGGTTTAGCAAATAACGAAATATGCGTCAAATCGTGTGGTGGACGACAGAGAATGTGCCCTAACCAACGAAGGCGGCGCTCTATGATAACATTATTTATGCAAGTAGTATTTGAACGAAGGTGCGATCTTAAACCAATTCAGAAAACAATGATTACATTGAGGTCGGCTGTTGTTACTGTAGAAGCCAAATTTGTTATATGAAGCTTAACTTTCCGCGATAGAGCGCGTCGATCAAATAAGCGACCACCAATTTTCAATAATTCCGGCTCCGAAAAGTTTCTTGTTCCATATAATTCTTCAAAACCACTGTGATCCCATTTTCCTAGTGGAACATTCTAAAAGAAATTCGATAAAAGCGGATACAAATTAGAGTTAAAACATTGAAACCTTCAAACCGAAGAACCTTTCCATCTCATTTGCCCGAATAACCTTAAAGGAACAAAAGGTTTGAATCCAAAATAATTTAGAAATATGAATAGTATAGTATATGACCAATTTCCGGGTGGCATTGGATAAGGAAGCTTAAAACATCGCTATAAAGTTATAACCTCAAAATAACGCAATAACGTTACGAAAAAAGAAGGCAGGATAGGCAAATGGATAAAATCTTACTGAAAGGAAAAGGTTCGATTCTTCGATCAGACAAGCGTAAATTGTTACTTAAAAATTCGAGTGATGACTTTGGCTCTCTAACCAAAATTCTAGTCATATTAGTAGCCAATGTAGCAAGCCGAATTAGAAATAACGAACCACCCGTCATTCTATTTAAAAGAAAAAACAACTTTAAAAAGTGGACGAAATCAAGTACCAACGAAAAAAGGAGAACCTGTGATTTTGTAAAAGCTGAATCAATTGAAGCAAACTGCTTGGTAAATCCACGACCTCGCCGTCGGATTTCTCGGTTTTTATCGTTAATCGTTTCATCGTTTAAACTCATCAAACGACCACTATTCTAAATAATTATGTGATAAGAATATCTGATAAAAATAATTGCTTTCTATTTCAAAAATTTTATAAACTGTAAAAAAAAGAAAAAACACCTTAATTGTACTTTTATTTCGGGCAATTATTTCATCGAGTGATAAGTCGATTAAGCTCATTATTGCATAAAATTATTTTTTTAATTCTGAAAAACAACGAAAAAATTCAAAAAAACGGAAAAAAAATGGAAAAAAGTGGAATTAAATGAAAGAGAAGATCAAACTGTAGAATGGCTAAGTTTATCGTCGCCCATATTTCGGAGCGCCGATATTACGGTTGTTCTATTCATAGCAAAGGTAAAGCGGTCTTTCAAAGAAAAATTCCACGTAGTGCTGGTAACTCATTTTGTTCTCCTATCGTCTCCCTCATTCCCTGGCAAAAATTTGCCTCATCTGATGAACAAATGGAACTAAATTAACCAGAAATGGTAACGAATCAATAAATCGTCATAGAATTTAAAAATTTCAATCAAATCGATAATCGCGTTCGTTTTTACGCAAATTTTACACGTTTTTGCGTCATCATTTCCACAACGTTATTTAACAAAATGTCTAATAAATAAAAATTTGAAAATAAAGAATTTTATTCGATAAAAAACGAAATGTTTAATGATAATTGTTAACAATTATTATATCTTATCATTTTTATATCTTTATCTTATCATCTTATCATCTACATCCAAAATAAAAATATAAAAAAATAACAGTAAAAATAGCTAAAAGCGAAATTCAAGTAGAAAATGAATCTAGGTACTTACTTTTTAGGCGAAACAGTTATATTCTATTAATCAAAGAGAAACTAAAGAAAGAAACGATAAAAGCGAAGTATTAAAAGAGAAAAAAAAAGAAAAGATAAAAATATTGAATTCAAAAAAAAAAATAGGTGGCTAAAGTCGAAACCCCGATTCGTGGTACTCCTTTCTCACTCCTTCTAAACAAACCCCTCCCCCTTAAGCAAATAAAAGCCGTATTCCCCTGTTTGAATCCTGCTATATTCAAACTCCTACACTAACTCTCCCAACGCCTCCAGTCACAATTCTGTAATTTGCAGCTGCGGACGCGCCTAGGGTGTTATAGAGGAAATAAAATTTAGAGTTTCGATGCATACGAAGGATTGTGGGAACTACGGTAGAGGAGTTTCAACTCTCCCAATGGCCGTGGTTTAGGGGCCGAGGCATTCAAGAAGGTTTCAGGAAGAATTTAAAGGTAAAATAAGGAAACATGGTCACGTGCAATGTTGCAATGAGAACAAACCAAGTTTTAAAAAATATTTAATATCGTCAATGATACCTTGCATATTTATCGATTAATAGCAGCATAGTTATCGAATGTGCAATTTTCTTTTTCTTGATATGAAAAATGTAATTCCAAATTTTGTTATATTTAGCATATATTTAATTAATATCTCAAAGAAGTGAGCTGCAAAATTTCACTCAGAATTTTAAAACGAAATTCTTCCTACGGTAGTTTCGTTTTGGGAATTATTCTGCCACTGTTTCTCTCCCTCGTTTATAGATATAAGATTTATAGGTTTACGTGTATAGATTTAAATCATTCTTTTGATGGTTCGGAAATACTGGTGGATTTTTTGGACGGTTTGGTACTAGTTTTGTGGTTCATTATTGATTTTTTTCAGTAAAAAAAGGTGATTTATGGTGAAAATGTTAATTTTAAAATTTTAAAAAGTTAAATTTTTTTCTAAGAACACTAACCATTAGTTAGACCAATTGCGTTGGCATAGAAAAATTTTGCCAGGGAAAAATTTTTACTTGAAAATATAGATAACCTGCCTAGTAGTACCACGGACTTGAGTTTTTCATAGATAGATTTGCTTGGGCTTGCTGAGTCTAAAATCCCAGCTTCGACACTCTCCGAAATGAGAAAAACCTACGAAACCATTCTACTTCCTCACTTGACTAATATTAAATATTATAATGGCCTCGCTAGACTATATTTTAAATTTTCGGTGATTTGGTGAAAAATTTCTTTTCTTTCCTTATTCTTTTTTAATTTTCAGTAGACAAAAGACAAGCAATCGAATAGAATGGTACGTTTTTTTGACGACTTTTATGGTTTTTTGTTTTCAAAGTTTTTTCACTTAGAAAATTCTCATTTCATGGAAAAAGATTTCTCAGCTACTACATTTATTTAGTAGAATCACGAAATTCTTCATGAATTTATTTTTTTTAAAATATATTTGTCGAATATCTTTGGTTTTTAGTGGAATATTTTATAGGGTATTGATATAAATCACAAATACGATAGGAAAGTTCGTCGTACAAATCCGAGAAGTGAGGATCCATATTTGAGAATTCTTGTTAAAGTAAGTTGAGTTGAAGAACATTTTTAGTTTTCTCTGCAGTTTTTTCTTTGACTGTTTTCCATTCACATTATTCATTATTAATATTATAAATCTAAATTTTTAAAAAACTACTATAAAAAACTGTTTTATTTTGAAATTTTCACCTGTTTTTAAGAATTATTATTGGAGATTTATAGATATGAATTTATTGTACTTATTCAAACATATTTGATTGCTATGACGCATTTTATTCTTTAGCTTTACAAATATTTGGCTCGACGTACTCGCAAGAAATTCAATGCAATTATATTAAAACGCTTGTTTATGGCTCGTCGCCATCGACCGCCCATTTCTTTGGCTCGTCTCATACGTAATATGAAAAAAGGAGACAATATGAAAAAAATTGCCGTCGTTGTTGGAACAGTTACAGATGACAATCGTATTTTTGAAGTGCCGAAATTTACCGTAGGTTTTAAATGTGTTAGCAAATTTTTCTTTCAATTTCCTATGAAAAAAATATTCAGCACAGATTAATTTTCCAGAAGATTATTTATTTTTTTCAGGTTATCTTTTCAAGAATTTATCATTAATTGTATATTTTCTTCTTCTAACACCTTAACATTCATAACGGTATCTCATACCATTATTGGTTTGACTTTTTTCGCTACGAATGTATTAAACGTTTCTACGTTTACCGAAGCCATGTCTTGAATTAATTGAAACCAAGCTTTTTTCCATCACTTTATATCACTGGGCTGTCATTTCTCTCAACTGTTTTTGCAGAGTCCTTGATTGATTCTTAACGTTTTTGATGTCATTTATGAAAGTTTAGCATTGGAGAATATAGTTTAGCATGTGAATTTTTATGAAATTTTGTGACAAAGAATCTGGTCTAACACGACGTTTTGAAGTAAGGTGCGTGTTCATGTGAGACTTTATGCGTGGCAAATGCATGGGATTTACTTCATCAGAAATAGATAACTTCCTCACATCATCCATTTTCACTAGCTTTTTTCACAGCCGTAAAGAACGATTATGGAACAGTTTAGTAGATAGGAGATTTCGAGATCGATTTCGACAGATATGAAGGAAAATACTTCTAGTTTTCATTTTGGAATTCCAGGCTGAATTTCATCTTTTGCATAACCATGGAATATAAGAGTGGGATCGCAGATTATTGAAATCGAAGTATTTCTTGAAGTATGGAAGAATTTATATAATTTGATATTTTATCAACATCCATATATATATATATATATATATATATAATACATAAAAAGGCCTCGCTTATGCGAAAGACTAGCTGAAAAAAGGCTTTTATTTTTTATTTTGATAATCGGTAACCAGTTTTTGCTGCTATTATAGATATTCGATCTATTACCTGTTGTGTTGCTGTGCAAGTATCAACCAAAAAAACGGTGATGTTACTCTGGAACGGAGCTTGATTTATCTTTGTAACCCAGCTTATTGTGAAAATCATAGGTGGAAGATTACAAAATCTCAAATAATACCTCTTCCTCAATCCGTATAATTGTGTCTATATTTGCTTGTTATACGCTGATAAAGTGTTTAAAAGGTTTGATTATTCTGTAGAACGTCATCATGCTGCATAAGCTTTTAGAAGGCCTTCTTATCGAAATCGAATAAATTGAATCGAACAGAATGGAAAATAATAGCAAAATCAATGAAAAGATTGCCTAATTTCCTGAATGTGAAGATTTGTTTATTAAAAACATATCTGAGTCTGAATCCAGCTTGATTGGGTTTTTTTTTTATCATACCATGAATTTATGAGCAGAACTCAGGCAAAATTTGTCCCAAATATGTCCAACATGCTAGTTCTTCGGTAATTATCATAACGCATACTGTTATCTTTTGTTTGGGATTGGGGAGCGGAATTACTATCCAGGAACAATATTTGAGGACCTAATAGACCATCTTTATATTGACATAAAGTTTTTAAATTATTTTTCATAGCAAAGATTATTTCATTTAGGTAGGTCATTCGCACTTATAATCATAAGACCTTAAAAGTCCCAACAATATCCCGGATTTTTAAATTGGCTGTTATAGATGCTTGATATTTTATTCCTCTTGTTCAAGTAGTTGCCTTTCATTTTACTAATACTCAAAGGAATAAGTTTCATCTTCACCGAGCTGTATTCTCTATATTCATGGCCATATCTTTTCATTATCAGTTTTCATCCTATTGCAACCATTGCGAGTCTGCAGAATTGCCTGTAGTTAACATTTTTCGCGTACACGTTCTAGCTGGTTGGTTAAATTGGATTGTTTCGTCTAAAATCCAAGTTTTTGAACATATTGAAATGGATTTAGCCGATTCTGGGAGAGATGAATTTAGCTGAGACAACTATTTATATAATACCTCTTTTTTGAATAGTTTCTAATCTTTTTGTTCAGGTAGCTGCTCTTCATGTTACTAAAAATGCTCGAGCACGTATTATAAAAGCAGGTGGTAAAATTATAACTTTCGACCAACTCGCTTTGCTTGCACCTAAGGGTAAAGGCACCGTGTTGATGCAAGGGCCAAGAAAACAGAGATTAGCAGAACGACGATTCGGTCCAGCTCCAGGTGTGCCACATAGCCATACTAAACCGCTGGTAAGATCGAAAGGCCGAAAGTTTGAACGGGTAATTTTTCTTTGCATTATCGCTATCTCTCTTTTTCTCTTGCATATAATTCATTTTTAAGCATGTCTCTAATTAATTCGAGTAAAAATTCGAGTAAAAATATTTACAGGCCCGTGGTCGCAGAAAGTCGCGCGGTTATAAAAACTAATTTGAATCAGAAAGTCGTTTTTATTTCATTTAAATTTATTTAATATATATTTTGTTGTCAATAATAAAGTAATTTCTAAATAATTCATGGTATTCTCATAAATTTATAACTCTGAAATTAGTAAGTATTATCGCAGCTTGGCACAATTCGTATTCGAGAGTGTTGACAAAATTAAAATTTTTCAGCCAATTATATATCATTGGGAAAATATTTCATTAAAATGCTGAATGATGTTCATTTTCAAGAAATATTTTCGAAACAACTTTTCTCTGAAGCTCTCATTTATTAATAAAAATAATTTAATTGATAACAAGGAAATTAGCATTAAATATCTAATATTGATAAAAGGCTCTTGAGGAAGACATAAAAACATCGAAACATTGGGCAATTTTATCGCTGTCATCTGATCAGATACTTATGCTTTACCTTCATCAGACAATTAAGTATCGGTTTGAAGTGAGTTTAGTTGATTTTCATAAAATTCTTATCATAAGGTAGAATTTTTTGAAGGCATGTTGAAGGTGAATTATTTCGTTGAAAAATTTGATACAAATAGGGCGACTGATTGTACAAGTCAGAAAATGGGAATAGGATGGCTCAGTATGTGGTTGCTGAATTTAGAGCGCCGACGAAATTCTATTTCCAAATTGTTCAAAAATCCGGATGATACTGGCAACTCACTTGTAGTTCTTTCGCCAAGCAATTCCCTGCCATATTTTTAAAGCTCCTCACCATTACTGTTTTGACTCGTTCGTCTGGCTTGTTGAACTAGATGAATATGCTGGCAAGTCCATTGATAATATAAGTGAGTCGACTGCATCATCACTATCTCCCATTCTCGGATATTTTTATTCCTGCAGAAGATAGAAGCTCTGCATCAACGCTCTGAATTCATCAAGAAGAACCATTCTACACACAAAATACTATCATCATCTAATTGGAATGCTCGTATTCGAATAATTGAAAACTAGTTTATTGGTTAGCAAAAGGAAATAAAATAAACATCTTGAGTGCTTGATCTGTTTAAGAATTAAAGTTTTAAGATTGGAGAAAATTTTAGGATTAAATTTAAAACATGAATCATTGGAATTGGATTCTACTTCTTTGCAGCTTCTGCAATTGCCACCAGGCATCTTACATTTTCGAAAAAGTAATAAATTTATTATCATTAATTAATTACGATTGTTAATTTATTAATATTAATTATTATTGTTATAATAATAATAACTATTAATAATAAAATAATTATTATTATATTATCATTATATTATCATTATCATTAATTATTATTATCGTTATCATATTAATTATGCTATTAATTAACCTTAAATTTTTCTAAAAATACTTATCACTGTCGGCTTATTCGACCAGACAAATTGTATCGGAGAATTTGACGATAGAAATACAGATGAGTATCACCGGGATTTTTGAAGAACAAGTTTACTTCAGCATTGGCATTCATAATTGAGCAATAGTCCACTGAACTATTCAATCTACTATTGCTTTCACCGTTAGGCAACAGTGGTATCCCCACTTGTGACGATGATAATCGTCTTGCCATTATCATTTTTTTATTTATTACTAATAATTATTACTGAATTACTTTTTATTTTTTTCGAAATTCACTAATTAAATATAAACATAAATTCTTTCTGTCATTTCGTTTTATTTTAGTTAATTAATTAATTATTTTATTACTGTTATTATCATAAATTAATTGATAATTGATTAAATAATTGATAAATAACCAATAAAATAACAATGAAATAAAGGTCAATTAACGGTCAATTTTTTGGCTTTTTTTTAGATTTCTATCTATGCAACGTATATCATTATTACCATTTATCATTAATTATGCTATTATCATTATCATTATTATCACATTAAAAATTAAATACATTAAAAAAATTCAGTAAAATGATTTTAATATTGTATTATTCACAATATAATATTGCAATATCTATCATTCATCCACCGTCCACTTGAAATTTGCAATGAACAAATTCAATTGAATTGTTAGAGTTATTCTTTACTCGTTAAATAAATATATTTTTGCTAGGAAACTTTTAAAATTTATCTTTTTATTTTTATTTTTACGAAAAATTTTTAAAAATTTTTAAAAATTTTAAAATAAAAATTTTTAAATTTTCAAAATTTATTTTTTAATCATAGGTGGTAATTTTTTTTCGTAGATTCATAATCCCTCGTTAAGCTTTCGTTACAGGTTTTTTAGTTTATTGGAAAAAAATAATTTTTTAAAATAATATTTTAATAATTTTAATAATAATTTTTTTGATAATAATTTTAATAATTTTTTTGATTTATTATAGGTAAATTTCGCTGGCGAATCATTTAACGATAGAAATATAAATGAATCGCTTGAATTTAAATTCATATAAGCAATATTAAAATTATATTGATTACAATTTACAATAATAAAAATTAAATGACAATAATAATGAAATAAGTAATTAATTAAATAATAATGAAAATTTTATAATTTTAAATTTATAATTTTATAATTTTAAATTATTATTATAAAATTATAATAAAAATTTTATTCTTTTTGTCATTCTTCTAAATTTTCGTCATTTTTGCAAACTTTACGAAATGTCGATTTAATTTGAAAAAAAAAAAAAACATTTTCTATTTAATGCAATTTTCGCTAAAAAACTCAAAACCGAACTCTAGTGCTTTTAAATGATCTAAATTAACATAAATTTGTAATAGAAAAGAGTAATAAAAAGTAATTTGATATTTACGATTTCTATTAGTGATAAAAGACGCAACGATACTACTGTAGTAGTAAACTTTATCTCGTCCATATTTGTGATGTAAACCCGTCAAAAATTTAATGGTGATTATAATCGAGTGGTGACTAAAGTATGTAAATAATATATATAAATATTTTTTTTAAGAGCCCTCACCATTACTGGTTAGACCCGTTCCGCTGGCTTCTCCGTTAGACAAATATGCCAGAGAGTCCCTTGGCGATAGAAGTGCAGATGAGTCGCCGGCATCATCCGGACTTTTAGGCTGCCGGTTTACTCTTGCGGAGAATAGAACCTCAGCATCGGCGTTTCGAATTGAGCTTGAGCCATCCTATACCTTTATATATATATATATATATATATATATATATATATGATTGGATGAACAATATTTTATCTATAGCATTGTTGGAACTGAGATTGATTTTTTTAGGTTGATGCTTTCACTTTTATCGCTATTTCTTGCATCAGGCCCCGTTCTAAGAGATGACACTCAACATTGGTCACCTAATACATATCCAAATCCACAAATTAATTATACACTTTGTAATACTTGGCCAGCATCAACATTATGTGATCCCGATCATATTCTTACTGATCATTGGCGAATGATTATTAATAAAAATATTCAGGAGCAAATTGAGAGTTAGTATTTTTTTATAACATTTATATTGAAATTGCCCTAATATGCAGAACACCATTGAAAGGCCATTTGATCATTGTACTAACTCTCAATTATCAATTGTTATCACTGCGCGGCTATTGTTAACCGTTGCACCTAATCAGCTTAGACTTGCTTTAAGTGATTTTTTTTCTGGTACTTGTTTTTAGGCTTATGTTAAAATTATATAATTTAATAGTCTTCTTAGTTCATTACGCTATCATAATTCATAGTTTTCTGGTATTTTCTTTCATTTCCATACCTAACCCTATCTCTTTTCCATAAAAAATTTAGTCTGGATCGAATATTATCATAGAAAATATTGGTCATATTGTAAAACACCTGTCATCCTCATCAATTTCTTGAAGAGCTTCGTAATTCGAGTGATTTGCTCTATAACGATAATGCGTCTGGAAGATGTCATCGGAATGCGACGAATGGCATTACAATTTATGTGATTCTTGCAAATCGAATTATTACAACATCAAATAATTCAATAGATACAGACTTGGTTAGTCTTAAGTGTTTCTTTCATGCCTTTATTATCTAATATTTTTAGTATTAAAGAGATTTATATTATTGGAGAATTAGTCATTTGATTATAAAGTTATGGTACACTTCTAATAATCTAGGCTACTTTTTTCTCACCTGTACAATGGAACCATTTAAGTTCTACGATTATTTTAATATTTTTGAAACCAGAATAGTCCATATTTTGTAATGAATCATCAATCATCGCGCTATCGTGTTAAAACTATTTGCTCCTGAAATTTTTCATTTTTGAAGATAAATTTTGGTAATGGTGTGGCGGATAAATATGGCCTTAATTCTCAATCATGTAAAAATTTCATAGTTATTGTTGGTGTCGAAGAAGCCAAATTGGCTTATGTGCGGGTAAATCAATGAATTTTTTTTCCTAAAATTATATATTATAAAATTATATATTATATATTATAAATTATATATTAATTCGATTGCATTTTTTTAAATATATAAAATATCATTTATAAAATATAAAATATAAAAAAATATCATTTTTATATATTATTAAAAATAATATATTTCATATGTTATTTTTTTTACATAATTATTAAATAATATATTTCATATGTTATTTTTTTACATAATTATGTAATTTATAATATAATTTTGTATAATTACAAAAAATCTGAATAATTTAAAATTTAAAAGCAAAAATAGTTTTTTTCTTGTGATTTTTTAGACGGGGTATGATTTAAAATTACCAAATGATTTAATGAAAATAATATTTAAAGAATATAGTGAATTATTTAATGCAAAGAATTATATGGAGGGTCTAAATAAAATTATCACTGAAATTGGTGAACGAATGAACGATTTATCATTGCAGGTATTTTTTTCAAAATTCTCTTATCTCTTATCAGCAATTGATTTAGAAAATAGAAAATACAATGTATTTTATTAAAATAACAATTAGGAATTCTAAAAATCGACTATTTATTTTTTAAAAATATCGCATTACAACTGTGTTTAGTATGAACAAATAATGCATCAAACAATCGACGAAATTATCCCAATCACTATGATTGCTTCGAATTTTTCTTCGCTAAATTTTTTTAATGATACTGTAAATCGTAACGAAACCAAATCGATCATAGGATGGTAAATATTTGACAAATATTTGGTTAAATTGATAAGATTCATTGATAAGAATTTTTAAAAATTTTTACTATAATTTATCTGTAACTTATAATAAGTTATAAATTTAAATAATTTTAATTTAATTTGATATAAAGAGAGAAAAAATGCGACTGATAGTCCTATTGATAGGCTATTTTATATATTTTGGCATTTTGGCCGACTCATATAGGATAATATGAAAAATTGAAATATATTCACGAATTCGACCAATGAATAATATTGCATTTTAAATAATTCATATGTATTTTCCATAAATCAATTTAAATTGCATAAATTAATTGAACGAATCGATATTTTCCGAAAAAAAACCATTGAAAAATATTTATCATTTTTAATATTCAACTATAATCTAATTTTTTATTTTTATTATATTTTCTGTAATTTTTATAATTTTTGTTTTTTTTTGAATTTATAATTTAATTTAATTTGCAGAAAAATCTTTTTTAAATTTCTTTTTTTTTACTAACTTAAATTTTAAATTTGAAAATTTTCTTTTTATTTTAGGTGGATATATTTAATAACGATAATATCACTAGTTTGTGCGTTAATTTCACTAATTATTCTTATTATTTCTCTGCAACGATTTAGAAAAATCGCATTTGAGATGAGAATTTCACCTAAAAACTGCAATTGTTCTCAGCATCAACAGATTATCGCTTCAACTTCGCAGTCGAACACTCCTCGTGCTAATGGTAGTTAGCGTTTTTAACTGAATAAATCACATGCCAGCAACATTCTCGATGGCAATATTTGTTTTTTTTTGCATGATGACTGATGCTGTGGTTATCATTCATTGTCATCCCTTATCACCACTTTATCATATTTAATTAGCACTACTGATGGTATTGAACAGATATTAAAATATAACTAAGTTAACTGAGTTTATTGACTTATTTGATTTTTTTTTGGTCTATTATTCAGCTGTATTTGTAATATTTTTCCAAACTTATATTTTTTTTATCAACTAATTAACGATAATTGTGAGATATCCTCAATATTTTAATCAGTCGATCTTATCTTACAATATTCATTTTATTTCATTTCAAAATTTAGCAGCGCCAATCGCAGTCGACATTCTTAAGCCAACGAAAGAGTTCGATAAGCGAGGCAGCTGTTTTCTGTCTTCGTTCATAGAACAAGATGTCGATCTGAATGAAAAGATTTACGAGATCGAACATCATAATGAAACGAACATTGAAAATGAAATTGAACAATGTAACCCGCGACATTGGTACTTTTCTACTTGTACCATAATGCGAAATGAATTTTTCAAATAAGTGAATAATTCAACTAAAAGCCTATTCTAATAATCAGTAGAATATGAAAAAAATATTACCATTTTTTTTAGCTATTTTTGCTACATTTTTATTGGAAAAAGTTATACGAAAATTATATGAAAGAAAATTTTAGGCGAAAATTTGATTCTTCGAGAGTGGTGGTGGCCAATAAATTATTCAACAGCATTTAAGGATAATTTTTTTTTTCATAAATTTGTTTTTTAAATTTAAATTCATTTTGGCAGCCATTTTACTTTATAATATTTATAATGTAAAATTATATATATGTGCAAATTCTGTGGTGTTTTATTCTAAAAAATATTCATTTTAATCTACTTTTTGTCATATTTTTAATTTGTACAATTGTAAATTATCGAAGTTCTTAATCTATGTAAAAATTGAGCAAACTATGACCGTGACGACCATGAAAACTGTGGAACTTGACCACAGTTGTAAATCATGATCTTCATTCATTTCCTAAGGAAAATATCCTAAAATATCTGAAAAAAACCTGAGATTCATTCCAGTAAAAATTAATATTTTGCGAAGATTTACATCAAGATTTTCATTTTTTCTTATCTTTTATTTTAGAAGATATTTAATAAAAATTACTAAAATAAAAGATAAAAAATTTGAAATGGATCATTAATTGATCATTCATCCATCCGTCTTTTTCTTTTTAGTTAAAACAATAAATATTACGATGAATTTCCACAGCTATCTGCTTACATTAATTTTTTATACTATTTTCATAAAAAAATAAAGATACTTTTTTTAAAAAAATTGTAAAATTACCAGAAAAAACCCGACTTAATTCATTCTAAAGATGAATTTTAAAATTTTTTCCAATTTTTTTTCACTTTTCCACAATGTTTTTTTTTACAATAAATATTGAATATTTTAAAGAATTTTCATTTAGCTGATTGATATTTATTTTAAACTAGAAAAAAATTCTATTTTTTACTATTTTAAAAGATTTTAACTGAAATTTTCTTTTACAACACACCATTAATTCAATAATTTACTATTACTATTCTAGAAATCTTAAAATTTCAATGATGTGATTTTCCTCGCACCTTAAGCCTACCAAATAATAACTTACTATACTAGCAGCACTCACTGAGGTTGATAGCCATTTAGTTTAGGTTTTTTCTGAATATAGTTTAGACTTAATCGAGTAATAGTAACAGGATTCAGGAAATATCCGTGATTCCACTAATAAAAATATAAGTTCTACGAAATTTTAATCAAATTTTTCAATTTTCCTTCTAATAATAATAATAATGAGAAATTGTGATTTTCGATAAGAATTCGAGTATTCACCAAAGTTTTCGGTGCTAAAGTTAACCAACTAACCAAACGTACCGTATATTTTCTATGGACAATATGAGAAGATATAATTGAGGCAGCTATCGGTACTGGAAAGGCATCAATACCTCTATCCGAATTCCTAGCAAAACCATTTTGCCATAATAGGAAATGGAGAAATACCAAATCAGAATTGATGATGTATGGACCTATTCGAAAAAGAAAAAGAAATTCGATATTTTGAAAAAAAATCATTCATCGATATCAGTGATTATCAAATTTTCCTCTACAGATCCCCTGGTTGATACCATAAGAATCCATTGGCCACCAGTTGAGCTCTTTTTGTTCGAATCTTTTAATTCTTTACTATTTTCTTAATTGTCTAAGGTATTACAAGCAATATCAAATCGTTTAAAAGTGGTCACAAAGAATTATGCTTTCATTTTTAGATTATCCTATTTATCTTGGCTAGAAAAGTGCGATCCTTAGGCTTTCCACTAAGAGTCGCTATGGATCTTCAAGAGACCGTAGAATCTGAACGTAGAATATTGCATTTTATTGTGAATTGTTTGGCTCATTCATTAAATCTCTTAATTGATAACAATTCGCCTGGATAACCTGGAAAAAATTAAAAAACAATAGCATCGATTAAGAATAAGGAAAAAAAAAGAACTGCTAGTTATTTAGCTGAATGATATAGTTCGATTTGTTATTTAATGATGTAAAAGATCACGAACTCTTAAGCAAATGATTCGTAAAACATAAAGCCGCCCAACTTCATTCTTTTGCATTATTTCCTATTGTTTTAACATCCAACGATGGCGGATCTAGCAGCGAAATTTGCTGAACATGAAATCACTCCAAATATCATTCCAAATCCACCAGCGAAACTTCTAAATGTTCGTTTTTTGCCCTATTTTTTAGAATTATTTTTATTATAAATAAATTACATCATTTCTGATTTGTTTGGCTCTTATTCGAGCTCTTGTTCGGGCTAACTATAACCATAAAGCATTTCCAAACCTTAATTTGTATCAATCTGCCTCGATAAGCCACTCGATGCAGTGCTATTTTTGAGAATTAGTTGCAGAAGCCATTTCCTTTTCCATTATCTATAATCATATATTGCTGCTTAACCTATATGTTAAAAATCTAAGCCTTAATTTGATCGTCTTCTTTACTTTTGGCATCATAAAGCGTAGCAAATAACTGAAATAAGAAGTGTTATTTAAGTATTTTATCTTTATACTGGATACAATATAAAGATCTGATAAGTAATCTGATAAGCCTGAGCAAATCTTAAAATTAAATTCGTAGAAGAATTTTCTACTTTACGTACTATTTTTTATCGCTTACTTATTGCTAAATTTACCAAATTTTAATAATTTTTTATATTTATAAATTTAATAATTCATTAATTTAAAAACTGAAGTGTAACTGGGATGGAATTCAAGTACAACCCGGACAAACGATGTCACCAAGAAACCTTCGATTTGCACCCCGTGTAACCCTCGACGTTGATCCCGAATCAACGTTCTCACTCATTATGATTGGTTTGGTTTCAATTTTATGTTTGCAATATTTCATTAAATTTAGTTAAATTATTTTATTTCGTTGTTAATATAACTTTACACTTTACACTTAAACCAATAAAAATAAATATTTTTAACTGAATAGAGATTTATATATATTTATATATTTTATTTTGTTACTTTTGCGAATCCAACTATGACTTTTATTCCCATTTGAAGTTGAAACTCTTAATATTAGGGAATATAAAGGTGAAAGGAGTATTAATGGGGTTTTGCTCATATTTCAAAGAGCCGATGACATTCCACTCACCGCAGGAACAAAGATTTTTTAAGAATCCAGGTAATGCTGGCGATCCACTTGTACTTCTATCGTCAATTAATCTCCAAAATTTGTCTGATCCGAACTGAAGCCAATGGTGCGACAGTAACCAGAAACAATGAGGATTCTTAGAAAAAATTCACTTCACTTCAAATTTTTCAGTGATAAAATCACCATTGGCATACTTAGGCTAACCGTTTTCTTATCATCGTTAAACATATTTCACAGGTCCTAAGGGTAAGAATTCTCGAAACAATCAATTATGATACGCAAATATCTATTTGATTGTTCAGTTATGAAAAAATTGCAGCATTTAAAGAACATTCATTATTTCCGGTTCGGCTTGACACTATTTATTATTAGGAAAAAATTATTTTGCTAGAGAATGTCTAGGAATAAAAGAAATATAAGTAGGTCGGTCGCCCAGGTCACATTATTCCAGATTTCATTTTTAAATGCCGATGCTTATTTTTATGAGGAAACAGAGAACCATGACACTTTTCAACTGATTTTAAACAATTCTATTCTAAGTTTCCATATACCATTTTCCCATCGACATTCCGCATTTTATCATGTTTAAATTCTTTTTCACTAATAAATAGTGATAATTGAAACTGATAAAAAAATTTTCAGATCCTGATAATCTTTCAAGAAAAAATCCATCTGTTGCTGAATGGCTTCATTGGCTGGTTTGTTTTTATTTTTTAAGAAACGTCAGCATTATTTATTAATTCATTATTTATTTATTATTTATTTTTATTATTTATTAATTCTTCTTTTTTTTTATTTATTAAAAATATTTCAGGTAACAAACATTCCCGCAAGTAATATTTTAGAAGGAATTAATGGAGGTTAGATTTCGAAATTTCTTTTAAATTTAAATTTTTAACTTTTTGAATTTGTAAATTTAAAAACTTCTTATTTTGCTTTGTATGATTTTTTATTATTAGTTTCAATATTAATCATTTAAATTAAATTTTTATTTTTAATTTAAAAAATTTAGAATTAATTTTTATTTTAAAAAAATTTAATTTAAAATATTATTTATATCATTTATTTTCCACTCTTTTGAATATCTAAATTTAAAATTAATTTTTATTTTATTCTTAAATATTATTTAAATAACCTTTTGCACCTATTATTACCCACAAATCACCCAATCAATAGATAAAAATTATCAATAGATAATTTAATGAAATAAAAAAATAGAAAAGGCAACTTTGAGCAATAATTTTTATTTCATCATTTTTTTTCCCGTATGTCACACTTTTTTTTCACTAATAAAAAATAGAACTCTCATAAGATTTTAAGATTATAAAATTTAGAATTCAATTCCGAAATAGGCTAAGCTAAAGAAAAAGTTTTTCATGGCTTAAGTCTAGAATAAATCTTCTAATTAATTAATTAATTTCTAATTAAAATAGGGGAAAGTTCCATAGAAGATATTCTATATTATTATTATTATTATTAATTATTATTATAATTTAGGTGAAAATAATTTATAGGGCAACATCAAATGGCATATGGTAGTCCAGCACCACAACCTCGAACCGATCTTCATCGCTATATTATTCTTCTCTTTGAGCATCAAGGACGAAGAATTCAAGTTCCTAAGCCAAGTTCACGAGCAAAATTCAATATTAAACAATTCATGCAAAAGCATAATCTTGGTTAAATTTTTTTTTTTTTTTCATTTTCTGAGCAATAATTTTCCAGTGTTTTTTGATTTAAAATAAAAAAAATCTCACGGCTGAAGGGTAAATATTATAGATTGCAATATTCGTGAACGAACTAAACCGGTTTTTTATTTTTTTTTGAAAAGCACTCGCATAATTGATTTGTTAAGCAAGCGATAAAATTTTAGAGAGTTATATTTTGAGAAGTACCAAGCAAACCAAAAGAATAGAAAATAGTACCACAGTATCGGCGTTCTCATTCGAAATAAACCAATAGTTATAGTTATAGTCGTTGAGCCAGCCATTCTAAATTAAAAATGAAATCCCAATGGTTGAACACTAAGAAAATAAAAATTTAAACTATACGCGCAAAAAAGATTTCAGTTGAAAGTATTTTACGCGATAATTCCTTTAATAAAAAAAAATTCGAGAAAAATTATAAAATTAAAAAAAATAAAGATTATAAAATTGAAGAAAAATTAAAGAAAAATTTTTTGAGAAATACATTTTCGCGAATTTCAAAATTCAAAAGTTGAATCGAAATTTGGTTATTATTTGATGAAAATCAATAGGATAAAATCGCGAAGGCGGAGATCTAATTTTACACGGTTCTCTGCTTCTCTTCGCGATTCATAAATTTTTCTCAATTAAACCGCAACGCATTGCATCGATTTTAAGAGGACACATTCGTGTAGTGTGTACACGGTGTACGCGGTTCGCCTTTTTCATTGTCCTCTTTTTACCTATTCGTTGATTGAAAATTTTATTTTCGTTTATTCAAATATCGCGGAAATAAGGCGATCAAGCGTTAAAGGTCATAGTTCAATAGTTATAGTTATATATTGTCATATATATATAAACAAATTCATGAAATGAACGGTCAAAAACGCGTTAAACGAATTCTTCCATTAACGCTAAAAGTGAAAATACTTGACCGTTTAGTACGCGGTGAAGGATCATCAGCTGTCGCTCGTGATTATGGCTTAAATGAATCGACTGTACGTACGATGAAAAAAAATGAAGAACGAATTCGTGCGAGTGCTGCAGCAAATTTTTTAGCGCGAAGTGGTGGTATTAATTGCGCGAATATAGCTCAAACATCTTTTTATACGCGAGATTCAATTATTGAACGTATGGAAGAGAGTTTAAATGAATGGATTGAACAACAAAATTTAGCGAAAATTCCTATCGATGGAAGTCAAATACGTGAAAAAGCGCGTCAAATTTATGAATTTTTTAAATTACAAGACGAAATGAACGATAGCGACAATTCGGCGACACCAAAAACAGCGTCAACAATAACAAATGCTCGACGACGGCAATTATCACATTTCGTTGCTAGTAAAGGTTGGTTAGCAAAATTTAAGAGTCGTTACGGTTTACATACGTCGAAATTAGCTGCAACAATAACACGTCGTACGCCAACTTCACCTTTAACCTCAGCGCATTCCTCATTAATTTCTTCAAATATTCCACAATTTCCGATGGTGAATTTAGCGAATTTTATTCGACAGCAAAATTCTTCGTCTTCCTCTTCTATTGCCGCAACAACAACAACAACAACAACAACAACAACAGTTGACAACAACGATTATTGTGAAGAAAATCAAAATGATGAACAAATGGACAATAATCGTGTTCTCGATTTGCAAACGTCGAATGAGCGCCTAAATTTTTTGCTTCAGGCAACATTTAATGAGACGAATAGACTAAATCAAGAATTCGTTAATGAAGAATTAAAAGACGAAGAATTTGTTCATGAAGAGGCGAAAAAAGGAGATTTTCACGATGAACATTGTGAAACTCAAGCGAAGACGATTAACAATAATAATAGTGATAATAGTGATAATGATAACGATGATAATGATGATGATGATGATGATGATTATAATGATAATCTTGTTGATAGTATTTTAACACCGAAATTAACGCTAAAAAAATTAGAAAATGGTTTTCGTTTAGCGAAAAAACTTGAAGTTTTCTTTCTAACTGAAGATCAATGCACGAAACGTAGTCTAAAATTCAAAACTGATCTCGAGCTAGCTTTATCACAATATCGTCAACTTTATCGGTATTTATCACGAAATTCGAAAAGAAAAAATATTTAATAATTCTTAATTTTTCTAAATTTAAAAAAATCAATACAGGTTTTTTTTGACTTAATATTTCCAATTTATGTCATTTCTAGGTCAATTTTTAGTTCCACGTGTTTTATTTTCAATTTGTACTTTTATATTTGGGACGAAAAAATTGACATTTTAAAATTTTTTGTTAAGAAATGATTATTTTCAGGTGATCCATTAGCTGGAAATTTCTTTCTCGCACAACATGAATGAATTTTTGATTATATTGCAGATTAAAATGAAAATTTATTTCTTTGACCTTTTAATGACCTTTAATAAACCTTTTTTTATACATATAAAATGTAATATAAAAATTGATGAGTGATTTTCTATGAGCTCAACCGGTTTTTTCTTTTTCTTTCTTTTAGTTTCATAACAACTGGTTCTCATCTTTTGCTAACAATAAATATTAAATAATTTTATTGTTTGATTAATTTTTTAAATTTCAAATTTAATATTATAAAATTATTAAAGAAAGAATTGTATTTAGTAAAAGATTCAATAAAAAAAAAATTATATTTTATTTTTGTGTCTAAAAATTGCATAACAAATTCAAATGGATTAAAGAATTCTTCTTGCGAACTACTGAAACAAAAAAAAAAAAAATTTCCGATTTTTATTGAAAATATATTAATATAAGACATTTAACTCGACCAGTGGACGACGACTCATCTTGTTAGCCAATAAAATCACCTAAATCACCCAAAATGGATGCTAAAAAAGATTTAATCTCAAGATTTCCTCAAATCTCATTAGGAATTAGACAACAAAAAAATACAATAAAAATGAAAAATGAATGGCAAATTTCTTCGCAAATAACGCCAATATCATTTACACGAAAGGATTGGCAATTTGTTCAATTCCATCATTTGGTGCAATAATTGTAATCGCCGTACCCCGAGCCACTATTAACCCCAACTGCCTGGTTTCCTTAAAATTAAGACGAATTTTATTTTATAAAATAATTATTTAATTTATTGCATTATTGGATTTTTTCAAAATAAACAACTAAAGTTTTATGGTATAATTATGCCATAATGTTTTTTATTCAAAAAAATTTTAAATTTAAAAGTATTATAAGTAAAAATGGCTGCAGTTCTTATTTTGAATCCAGAAATTTTCAATGCTTAAATTCTAAATCTATGAAGATTAGAAAAAAAGAAGTGAGCAAATAATTAACGCTTAAATTAGCCGTTGATATTGCTGGAAATTTTTTGCCAACGAATCACTTAGTCTTAATAAATAATAATAGGAAAAATTGACGAAAAACATTGGTAAAATTTCCTTAGGTGTAATTCAGGGAAAAATGTACAAATCACTTAAAAAATTAAAAAATCACTTAAAAATTTTAAACCTCTTCCTTCTTTTAAAAAATATCAATTTTCTTAAATATTTTAAGAAATATTCCATTTTAACTTTAAAGATTTAACTAAAAGTGAATAAAATTACTTTTTAACTAAAGTGAAATTACCTTTAAAATTAGAATTAAATTAAATTTAATTGAAGCGATATTTGAAAAGTTATTTTGAACAGATTTTCATTCAAAACTTTTTAGCAAAATAGAAAAATTTCTTTCAATAAAAAATGAAAATATTCAGTGTTTACTTCAGTAATCTTTTGGTGATCTTCAGAATCGCGAACATATTCAATAGCGTTATCCAGTACTAAATTTATTAGCGCATCATATCCTTTCAAAATACCAGAAGCTAAAATTACTATATATATATATGAAAAACAAATTAAAAACGAAAAGTCAATGATCATAGCCTCGCAATGAATGGTCTTACACAATGCTTAAATGCAAGATTCGATTGGTCTAAAAGAGTGGGTTCGTGATCTTTGTATAATGAAGTAGGCAAAATCATCTCATCCCATTAACCAAAAATGATGAGAGATAACCGTTCAGTTTTCGAAGACCGCATTTTCGCATTTTTGAGGCTTGCAAAATATTATGTTTCTTTATTCCCATAAAAAATTTCTTTTTCGAGAAACTTATTTTCCACTACTGTTGTACTCACTGTTCATTTTAGAACGATTTCGCAGAATAATTATGTATTTTCAATGTCTTTTTTTTAAAAAAAGGATAAATGGAACGCTCATTTCTGCCTGAGTTAGAGATAGAAATGGCTTGTGGATGTGGTCTAAAACAACGTCGTGTACTTGAACTAATGAACTTACGTGAAATGATTTGATTAGTAAATTAAAAAAAAAACAAATGGAACTTAACTTCTCGTCCACCTTGAAATTTCACTCGAATTTTCTTGTCAATAAAACGTGCCAAATTAACAATCGAACCTTTCTTTTTTCTCGACGAGTCATCTTTTTCCTTAAATTTTATTTTATTAGAATAAATGGCATGTTGATTCGAATAAGAAGAAAATAGGTCCGATTCCTCTACTCTGCACAAAGTGAATTTATCACTGAAAAATCCCAATGATGCTAAGGATCCACTAGAATTTCAATTTTAATGTGCTCACTGGAAAAAGGTTCTCATCCAACAACCAACGAAGAAACCATCAAAAAGAAAAACTTTAAACTATTAATTTCATTAATTTCATTTCTATAACTTAATACAATTTTCGCTATTCACCAATTTAGACTAATAAAACTCTTGGAGATGATTTCGAGACTAATATCAGAACCAGAGCAAGTGTTTTCCAAACCCCAGAAATATGACAATGCGGAAACTATCGATGAACCAATCCGCAAAATATCTCATGGGAAAATTTCCAACATTCTTAAGTGAACTACGGTGGTACGGCACAAGATAATAGGATTTGTCCTAATCAAGCTTAGCCAAGACCAGTTGAAGTGAAAAAACTCTGTCCAAATAAGAACTGGTGTATATTCAACTATGAGATAGATTAGATTATGGACACTACTTGTTGTGTAACGCATTCCAATGCATGATACCGTAGATCAAAAGCGAGGAGAACCAATCAAGACTTGGACTTAAATAATGAAAGAGGCATAGATGGCCTAGCATATACGGCCTTAGATGCTGAAGAAAGGAGTGGTACTTATTGATAAAGCAATGGAGTAAAAGGTTTGCCTAAGATTTGTAAATGCCAATCTTGTGTCCTGTGGAGGATTTGTAAATGCCAATCTTGTGTCCTGTGGAGCCAAATGAACCAATAATGGTGCAAACAAATTATTAGAAAAAAGGATTTAACTTGGAAATTTACAAAAATAATTTAAAAAGATCGAATAAATGACAAAACTCACCGACATAATAATCAGTAAAACGATGTACACAAAATTTTCAAATTCGTGGACAAATAAAATTTGCAGCCGAAGCCGAAACTTCAAAATTTATTGAACAGAGACTGATATGTTTTAAAAGTCAGCTTATAGTTCCATGGTACTTTTGTGGTGTATCCTGCCAGTACACAGTGGAAAATAGATAGACGATTTGTAGTTTTTTTAGTTTTCCGAAGATGAATGGAATATATGTGACTATTTTATTCTATTACTTTATAAAAAATAATTGGAACTTTTTTTATAAAATTGAAATTCTAGGTTTATGAAAAAATAAAGGTTACATTGCAAATGCGAGTGGTCAACTGGCTTATTTCCTGTCAGAGAAAAGATTACACTTAGGAACCATGCGGATCGTAAATAACTTATGGAACTGTGGAGGCGCAACATCTATCTACTATGAAAAAAAACCATCGCCGAGTGATAGCAAATTTATTATCAGAAGAAGACATAGGTTGAAACTAAGCTACTGGAAGAGAATTAGTGATGGCAGAAATGCTTACAAGATAAATTTCTTTAGAAAGGCGAAAATTATTGGAAAAAAACGATTGAAATTTTGTTTCACTGAAATCATTTCCTTCCAGCCGCTATCTTTATATGAAGCCCTTTTTTTTCTTGTATCCTTTCGTCATTCACCTCTGGACATTCATCTCTTTTGCACCAATAAAACTCATCGCGTTCCAGTAATAAACTGGTTATTAGCAGGCTGATTGAACCACTATAGGCCAGTGGATTTTCGTGGAGGGTAATCCTAGATAATGCCATTAAAATCTACGGGCGCATAGATTTCCAAATTTTAAAATATTTTTCAAAATTCTGAATGAATTTCATAAAATAATCATAATAATTGAAATGCTACTATCCCAAAAAAAAAACATGGCTCCAAGAATTAGGCTCCTAAGCACCGTTTGACTGTTTGGACCAAATTCTTCCTCGTATCCTTTTCTCATTACCGTATTTTTCGTTTATTTTGGGCTGCATTTCCTTTAAGCCCATTTTGCTTAGGTGTTGTTGATAAAGGTGTTGATAATTAGAGTGTTTATCAGCCTTGTTGTTCCAGTTATTTCTCTATTATAGTGACCATTTTGTTATTTTCAGAGAAATTATGATGAGAAAAAGGGTAGCAAAGCTGTAAGATCGCTTACAAATGAATGTAAGTAATATGGCTTCGATCCTTGTTCGCTTTTCTATGGAAGTCAACCTTATCACTAGAAGTGAAAATCAGATTGGTGCTCGCTTGATCGCTTATTTATTTCCCTAAAATAGTTCTCTGGCAAAGTGGTTTTATAATAATCGGCGAAACTAGAAATGATAAGTGCTTTTAATGCTTTACTGCATCGCGCGCATCTGTCAATTGCGCACATCAGATTTTTTTGCACCATTTTTCTTTTATTTTCTGGTCAATCTAATATCACTGTGTGTGTGTATGTATGCGAATAGGTGGTGTCAATTTTCGTGTATCTTTGGTCGATGGTACTATATGTGTGGTTCCAGCGGATTATTAAACGGAGGGCTGAAAATCCACAAGTTTAATTAATAGGTTATATTGCGGTTTCGCTTCTCTCTAATAGCCAAATACGCTTTTCTAATTTGCCCTCTAAAGTCGGTCCGTTTGCGCTCTTTTTTTTTTCATCTTTTCTGCCTATTTTTCATCCATTATTATCATAAATAAAAATGTGAACGGTAATATGGTCGGCAATTTCATATGGCTCATATATAATGCGGCCCGCGATTACGGGCAAAGGCGTTTTTTTTTTTTCTTTGGAAAAAAAATTGAGGAATTCAACTAAAATTTAATTAAAATCGATGTAGAAAAATAAGTTGGCTTATTTCCTCCTTCTCTCTTTCCTCTCTTTCCGTACTTCCTTTCCTTTTAGCGATATAATAATTCCTCACTCGCAATTGTTGTTCCTGATTTTTTAATCGTCCTCCTTGCGTCATCTTCTCTTCTTACAATCTCCGCTTTACAACACTTGTAGTTTTCTTGCTATCCTTTCACTTTGGGCATAGAAGTACAGATAGATCTTCAGCAAATATCTATTTTCAATGGTATATTGGTACTGCCGCTTCATAAAATAGGAATCGACTTAGTTTGAAAGCTTGGCGTTGGCTGATTAATCGTGGTGTCCTTCTTTGGTTTCCTTTCGCTGCCATTTTTTTTTTTTCTTTGGTATTTGATTTGTGTCTATAAGGGATCAATAAGGGATTTCAAGCTAAATAATTTAAAAAACTTTTTTTTTTTTAATCGATTTTATTTTCACTTTTTAAAGTATCGGCAAATTCGTCTCCATTATTTCCCATATATTTGGGATTTATGGATGAATGAATGAATGAATGGGTAAAATAAAATAAAATGAAATATGGTAAATATGGAATGGATGAAAAAAAAAAAGTTGAAAGAGTTTTATCGTTGAATAAGACTGAATGCATTTTAGAATGTATAAAGAAAGAAAGAGATTTCATTTCATTTTTATGGATAGCTTAGTCGAGCGAATTATTGCTTTTTGAGAATTTGCGGCTTCAGCGATTTTCAGCGATCGCTTGTTGATCGGCGTATCGTTAAAAAAATGCGAATGGTACCAAATGGTAGTTCTTTTTCGAAATGACTCGCTTAGTAGTGCAGAATGGAACTAACCTAAGCCAAATTTGTTTATTTGTTTTATTTTTCGAATTTACGCAATTTTATTTTATGCATATTTCGTATTTATTTTCAGGTTGTTTTTATTAAAAAAGGTGTTTTAGCACCTTTTTTTTTTCTTTGATCACTAAGAAAAAAAAAAAGAAAATGAATAAAACATATGAAAAATATTATTTGGATTTCGAACGGCCACCATTTGCACCAATTTATCGTCCAACTGAAGAAGAATTTGCTGATCCAGTTAATTATATATTGAAAATTAAGCCTGAAGCCGAAAAATATGGAGTCGTCAAAATCGTTCCTCCTTCTGTTTGTCGTTTTTTTCTTTTTCAACACTTAATTAATGTGACATTTGACCTTCGACTTTGGTAACTTTTCATTTATATTTCATGCGGAGAGAGTGAAGAAAGAAACTAGTCAATTGTCAAATATATAATTAAGAAATTTCATATGAGAATTAATTATTAATTCATTAGTGTGTGATAACATTGATAAGGGGTTAAAGGTTATGTATATTTTCGATCATTTTTATTTTTTGAGATGAAATTTTTTTTATTTGTTTTTTTTTTATTTTCAGTCATTTCGTCCACCATTTGCAGTAGAAAGAGATAAATTTGAATTTATACCTCGCGTACAAAATTTAAATCAATTAGAGGGAATCACACGGCCAAGAGCGATCTTTACTGCGCAGCTTCATAGTTATTGGCATTTACAAGGATATAAGCTGTTAAATCCTATCATCGAAAGCAGATATGTCGATTTTTATAGACTAAGTCGAGTAAGTTTTCTCTTTTTTTTCATAAGATATAATAATTTTTTTTTCCTAAAATTACTTAATTTTTAAGTTTTAAATTCTTCAAAATTATTCAAATTTTCAATTTTTTCAAAGAAAAATGGCAATAAGTATCAATATAATTTTATTTAGTTTTTCGGATTTATTTCAGTTAGTATCTCAAGCTGGTGGAAGCGATGCAGTTAATCAGCGTAAATATTGGTCAAATATAACGAGACGACTTGGTTTTCATTCAACACCTTCGACTAAAATTAAAGTGATTTATCAAAAATGGATAGAACCGTTTGAGAAAAGTATGTCGGTAAGTTTACACGATTCAAGTTTAGCGACTCATCTGATTTGAAAACAATTTAACTGTAGTGTTTCGAAAATTTTTATGTCTTATTTCCAGAAGGAAAAACAAACAGATTCGTTGTACACCAAAAACGCAGAAGGCTTTCAGTTAGAAGAAGGTCGTCGACGAATTCCTATTCCTAGAACTAAATCTATGGCTGGTTTGAAAAATTCTCATACTCATCGTTGTGTTAGTACGTTTTGCATTTTTTTGATCACTTTGTATTTTTTATTTTTTTTTAATATTTTATAATCGTAAATTTTTTCTGAAAAGTTACACTAAATGAATCACATAAAGATTGTGTAATTTTGAGCTCATTAAATTTTAAGCCGCATAATCAACTGTTGCTTGTAATAAATTTATTTAATTTCAGAACGAAAATTTAAAATGGTGGACCCTATGGATCAAGTGGTATGCAGAAGTTGTATGAATGGAGGTCAAGAAGATGTTCTTCTTTTATGTGAGGATTGTGATTATGCTCGACATACATATTGCTGTAATCCTCCGCTTCTCGCAGTTCCTAAAGGTATTGTTGCAAGTTTTTCTTGTTATTTCCAATTATTTTTTTAGTTTTTTTTACAGGCGAATGGCGTTGTGAAAATTGTGCAGTAGCTACTGTGAAAGAAATAGCTGATAGTTATGTTTTTCATGACTCTGAAACAAAATATAATTTATTGACATTTTCTGAATATGCCAATAAATGGAAACGTGATTATTTCAAGCAAGAGCCAAAGGTTTGATATCTTTTTTTTTGTGAATAGATAAATATTTGAAATTTTTTGAAGGTTACTTTCTTAATTGGTTTATCATTTATAGAAAATTTAAATTTATTTCAGGATGTTAGTCGCGATTTAGTTGAAAAGGAATTTTGGAGAAAAATTTTTGATTCGCAGTCTACAGTTTCTGTAAAATATGGCGCTGATTTATTGGCGAGTAAAGTGAGTATTTTTTTCATAGCCAAAGAAATTGATGAAAAAAATTTTCATAATAGATAGTCTTTAAGCTTTAGAATTCTGAGTATTCCAATCAGATTACAGTAAATTTTTTGACTGTTTGCTATTCAATATTTTTGCAGGTTGGAAGTGGTTTTCCTATTCAAAGTGAAAATTTTTCAAGGTATGCTGATGAAAAAGATCGGATTTATTATGCAAAACATCCGTGGAATTTAAATAATCTTTCTGTACTAAAAGAATCTGTGCTAAGCCATATGAAATGTGAAATTTCCGGTATTTTTTAATAATCCAATAATTCTTTTAACTTTATGCACCATTTCTGCTTTGGTTGCCTTTATTGGCTGTTGAACTGTTTTTCTCTAAAAAAATTTAATGAGTTATAGTTTTTCAGCATTGTTATTATTCAGATATAACTTATTTACAGTTTGTATGGTTTAATAGTTGATCAGATTTATTTAGTAAAATTTTTGGTGTTTTAGTCCTGATATTATATTTATAAAAAAGATTTACTATGATGCCACATTTTATATTCAATATTAAATGCGCAGTTTTTTTGAGGAATGATGATTCCATGGGTATATGTTGGGATGTGTTTTAGCGCATTTTGTTGGCACACTGAAGATCATTGGACCTACAGCGTAAATTACCTACACTGGTTAGTCACCTTTTTTATTCTTTTTCTACCGTTTTGATAAGTTTCAGTTCGTGGGTTGTGAAAATCTGATGATTATTAGGGGTGAAAGAAAAATTTGGTATGGCGTTTCTGGTGAAGATGGAGGAGATTTCGATAAAATCGTAAAAGAAATGGTTCCTGAATTATTCGAACATCAACCAGATCTTCTTCATCATATAACAACTATTTTCAATCCGCGAGTGCTTATGCAAAAGGTTTTTATCATTTCTTTTCATTGAGAAATTTCGAATTTTCACTTTAAATTTTATGAATTACATAAATTTAGCTTAAAAGGGTAGCATATTGTTTAATTGTTTCGATTATAATTATGGCTTGATCTTTAATTTAGGTTTTTCTTGTAGCAGTGCTCATCGTATACAATTAAAAGTTGACTAATTAGCAATATAATCAGCATTATTTTTGGTTTCCAAAATTATTGCTGTTGTAAGAAAATAAATCGGCGCGATGCTGGGCACACCACTTGCAAATAAATTAATTCCCACGAGGTTATCTGTTAACAGATTATAACCTAGTGGTTGAATGCTGATAAAGCAGTCTTGCTTTTTTATTTTGACTTTTATAGCATATTTTTAATTTCAGGGCCTTAAGATTTATAGTGTTCATCAGGAACCTGGTGAATTTGTTATTACTTTTCCTCGTGCTTATCACGCCGGTTATAATGAAGGCTTCAATTTCGCTGAAGCTGTAAATTTTGCTCCGCCTGACTGGGTATGTTGTTTCCATTCTAATCATAATTTGTTCTTTCAATTTAAAGTTTTTGAATTGTATAACTAAGGTTTTAGTTGCATAAAGGTAGGCTTTGTATTGCGGATTACGCTAGCGTGAGAAGAAAATGCGTTTTTGCTCTTGATGAACTTATAATTAATATGGCAGAAAACATTGAAGAATTATCTAATACAACCTCTATTGCATTATATGAAGAAATATTCACATTATGCTCGAAGGAAGTGCAGAATCGTCAAAAGCTGAAAGATATTGGAGTCGAAAAGTAATTTTTCCGTTCTTTTTAGTACATATTTTAATCATCACTCTTAATTGAATAAGTGATAAAACAATTGTGAAAAAAACTTAAAAATTGAAAAATAAAGTCATTTAAGGTCATGTCGAGAATTTTACGAATCGATAGCTGATGATCTTAGAAGCTGTGAAATATGTAATACGACAATATTTATATCAGGTTTAGTTTGCCTGCACGGTCGTTTAGTATGTTTGGAACATGCGGCTGAAGTGTGTTCGGAATGTAGCCCGACGAATTTCACATTGAAGTACGCAATATGCTGTGGAAAATTCTAATTCTAATTCATTCATTATTCATTCATTAGTTTTCAAAAATTCTTTCCACTGAAAAGATAATTTAATGAAAATAATGAAAAGTTTAGTAAAAATGATAATTTAAGATATCGCTATACTGTAGATGAGTTGGAGCATTTTATGGATAATGTAAAACAAAAAATTGAAGATTATCTCGATTGGCGATCAAAACTGTCCAATTTGTTCGATGAAAACGAGATGAAACCAAGCAAATTTTTCTTTATTTAATGCTGCTGATTCTTTTTATTTAATTATTTAAAACATGCGCCAACATGCTAAAAAAAGTGTTTCGAAAAATTAATTCGAGAACGCATCAATGTTTATTTTGCAATGTCGTAAATATTCTTCATTTTTGCATTATTTGCTAATTCTTCCCAATTCATTTTAATTTTATATTTTGTTATCACATTACCATTTTATTTAGAATAATTTAAATAGTGTTTTTTTTTTTTTTAGGATTGTGCGATGTGCAAAGTTTGATTAAATTAGCAACTATAAAAAGTTATCCACCATGTGCAATATTAGTTACGGCATTGTCTGCGATAAAAGAGTGTGAGCGCGTTGCTGGAATCGTTGTTTCGCTCACTACGAGATCTAAAGAGTCGTGGTAATTATTTTTTTCAAAATATTTTTTAATGTTTTTTCTTTGGAAAAAAAGGATTTTTTATTGAAAGAATTTTTCGATTCATTTTCAGTGTTAATTTTTGGTAAATTTTCATTATTTTCTTTTGTTTACTTATTCTTATAATAATTGCTTTGGCTTATTGTACTGATTACTGGCGTGGGTCATAGAATTTGGCCAGAGAGTAGTTTATGATAGATGTATCTTGATTTACTCTTGTCAAAACCCAAAAATTGAATCTATATTAACTGCACTCAGCCACAACATACCAAATCGATTTTTATGACAATGTTTGCACTAACTTAAGGATGATCAATTGCTCAATAAGAATCTCAATGAGGAAAATCATTGTTTTATTAGTTAAATATTTTAAATTTTAAGTATTAAAAAAATTTAAATTTCGTTCAGCAAAAGGTGGGATATTTTTGAGAGGAGATCCGAAAATATTGGATTAATCGAAAGTTTGATGAAAAATCTGCCTTGCATCGATGATGATCTGCAAAAAGTTGTTGATGTACGTTTATGTATCCGTGTATCTATTTTAAATTTCTTTCAGTGATGTGGATAATATCATGATTATTTGATAAATTATCCAGAATTTCTCATCCTAAACCAAATATTTCTAAATTTTTTAGAATTATATGGATCTTTCAATGAATTGGAAACAGCGATGCACCAAAATTCTTTCTGATGTCAGTGCTATTAACGAATGTAGTCATTCTCTTATTGATCCTCTCAGTGAATTGATAGACGAAGCGCATAACTTAAATTTAAGCTTGCCTGAAGTATTAAATCTCGAAAAAGTTAATATTTGCTAACTTTAATTCTTATTTTCAAATTATATTAAATTTTGGAGAAAAATTTCTCGTTTTTTCTTTTCCTGGTTTTTTCGTTATATTATGAATTATTTATTAATAATTGAATTATTGATAATATTTATTTTGGATATTTAAAGATTTTGAAACAGTGTCAATGGTTTTTACGTTCAAAAAAGTTATTAAATTGGAACCATGGTGAAAAAAAGGAAGAAAATGATAGAAAGGAAATCATTGATTACTTCAAAGAAGAATGCCGTTGGAAACTACAAAACTTAATGTCATTTGTTGATGAAGGATCTACAATTATGGAAAATAATTTAGCGATGCAGGAAGTTATTAATGCCTTGAAATTAATGGTGAAGTTAGGATATGAAAATGAATTTGCGGTAATTTTTATCTTTCTTTTTGATAAATAATTGGAGAAATTTCATATATCAATTTGTAAATATAAATAAGAAAATCATTTTTTATATATTTACTAAATTTTGTTTATAGGCGGAAAAATTTTTATCTGATAAAGCTAATGAAGGTATTGGTTACGAAAAAGCCAATGAACAATGGCTTTTATTAGAGCAAACGGATTGGATGACCGAGAAAAATATCGATTGTTTCAGGAAAGAAATGGTTCTAGCTAAAAAAATTCGCGATATGCTTTATTACTATAGAGGTAAATTAGATTGCAATAATTTAAATACCAGAAAGCACTTAAATAAAGTTAATATTATAAAGGTGATATGGAGCGGGGTAGTGGACTGAGTAGTTTTCCAGATTATTTACGAGAGAGAAAAGGGTTCAGTTCTTATTTCCTAACAAGAATGAACCTGTGACTAATCACAATGATGCCGATAACTCATATGTATCTTCTATCTCCAAGTAATTATCTGGTAAATATTTCCAATCATCCAAAACAATGGAGCTATCCAGAAATGATGCGTCAGCCATTTTAAATGCGGAGTTGGAATGAAAGTTAAATTGAGGATGAGAGTAAAATTTCAAGAAAAAAAGCCGTATTAATAACTGCTGAACTGTTTCATTTCAGAATCTGGTACTTGTACTTTAAGAGATTTGCGAAATCTTGTACTAGATTGCTCTGGGTCGCTTTTCATTCGTGGAACTACAATACATGATGATGTAATTGGCTTATATAATGGCGTAAATTTATTTCGTGAGAACATATGCCAAATTTTTGTTAACGAACCATCATATTACTCAGTTTTTGACGTATGTTTTTTAAAATTTTTAATTCTGTTGAAAAAAGCTATATATTTCATTATTATTATTTATTTTTGTTTTTTTTTTGAGATAGTTAGCGGTCGCAGTGATTTACCTTCGATTATTGACGGTACTTCTTCTCCACTTCGCCTACTTTACAACTATTCAACTGATGAGCATTGGTCTAAAATTAATAATTTTATAACTGCTGAGCAACTGGTATTTTTTCATAATTTTTCAGCATAATCACGGTGTTATAAGTTTTCTTTAAATCCTTGAAATCGTCAGAATATTCTTTCCTCTTTTTATATAACCCCGTCAGATTTCGCCAGATTTGTAAAAAAACAAAAATATAAAAATGAAAGTTATAAGAAAGTTTTTTATATATATTTATCAGGACAATTATGTAAAATCGAATTATGAGGAGCAAGAACGTCTTCTATTAAATTTGCGTCGTATCAACTTTGCTAAATCAGTTAATCATACATGTCTTTGTTCTTCAGCCGATTCTTTGGAACAGGAAATTGTCTCTTGTTTGTTATGCCTTGCAAAATTCCACGGTAATTGAGCGAATTTTTTTATAACTCTATTTTTGATATATGTGTTTAAATTCTTCCGCTTAAATTCAAAGTGTTTTTCTTATTTTGAATTTTTTTCCAAATTCTTCCTTTAGGATTCATTATCTTTATCAAATATTTTGTCTTATCTTTGTCTTATCTTTTAATCTTAAAGGTTATCAACTTAACTATTTTTATTTATTTTTTAATTTAGTATCTTGCGTTCAACGGACTATAAATGTAGCGAAACTATTAGATGATTATTATTTATGCGTTCGTTGTGTTCGTGGACGGCGACCATTCCTGGATAATTTATTGATTTTATGCGCAAATGCTCCATTATCTATAGAACGAAAATTGAGTATGCATGTTGTGGAATATACTCGATCGGTCTATAAAGAAGGTGCAACTGTATTGAGTACGCTTTCTTCTATAGATCAAAAGAGCAGAAAAGACGCAACACGGAGGTTTTCATTATTTAAATTTTATTTCTATTGTTTTATAATTTTATCTTAGATAAAATATAAAGTTCCCAAGCTTTTCCCTAATCTTCTCCTCTTTGGACTCATTTAGTCTTATAAATTTTTTCTTGAAGCCTTTTGAATCTCATTCTTTGTACAATATTTTTAAAAGCATGGAATAAAGATATAGGAATAAGATAAAGAAGAATAAGACAAAAAAAATTAATTAAAATTAATTAATTAACTAAATTAAAATTTCATATGAAAATGATTTATATCATTGCTAATGGCAACATAATTAGAACCACTGCCGTTTGTTATCTATTTTTTACTTTTTATCTATTTTGTTGATTCAAAGAAAGGCTAAATTTCAGTAAATGATTAGTGAAATTGTAAAATTTAAATTTCCATCTGATTTCATTTGTCCTTTTATTAGAAGTCTTTGGTTTAAATATAAAAATCTTTTATTTGGATCGGATCAAGAAAGCTTATTTTAGATTCACAAGTGGCTTAGTAGCAATATTGAGTAGTGAGGCGATTGATTGCTCTTTATGGCCCACCTTCGTCGCAGAATTATCAAAAATTTGGCCAGTTTCTGAAAGGCAAAGGAATATGCATAAAAAAATTCGTAGTTTGGCAGAGAATTCAACTCCTTTTGCAGTTTTATTCTATAAGGATAATAAAAAAGTTAATCATAATTTTGTGCGAGTAACTCGACCCTGTCGTAAACGTAAATGCAAATCCAAAGATGATGAATCGTGTGCTGCAGAAATTTGCCTTCACCCTAATGGTTAGCTCATGTTTTTATGATCTGTTTTTTCCGTTCCATTTTCTCTCACATTTTAAAATTTGAATTCTTCTAGAGATCCTAATTATTAACTTTCAGATGATGAAATTCATTGGATTCAGTGCGAATCGGGCTGTTTTCGTTGGTATCACTGCATATGTGTTGGGCAAAAAATTAATCCACTTAATCGTATTTCATCATATTGCTGCTATAGATGCTCACCTAATGTTTCTTCCTCTTTGTCAGTTCTTTCTGGTCTCTCTCGATAATTAAAAAAATGAGATTTCATCATAGTTTTTTCTATTATTTCATTTTTTTAAATTCAAAATTGAATGAGTGTTTTCGATTAAGAAAGAAAATTTCAGAGATTTTATCAGCTGTTTTCTTCACTTTTTTCTGTAATTCTTATTTGTTAACCTTATTCTACTTTTTTTGCATTTTTGCTTCCCATATTCCTCACATTTTTCACACCACATGTTGTTATTTTTTGTCATACTTTATTCAAAATATTTTTTATTTTTACTTCATTTTTTTAAATTTTTGCATTATTAATTTGTGTAATTTTTTTAAACAAAAATTCGATTATGAAAATCGGTTTTATCAGTTTAGATTAGTTTTCAGATTAGTTTTTTAAGGAAAATGCTGCAAAACGTTTATTTTTTATATTATATATTAAATTGAAAGCTAATTTCGATATTTTCAACAGTGTAAATCTCAATTTTATAAAATTTTGGTAAATTTGTAGATTATAGGAATGTTTAAGAGATAAATTTTTAAAATTTTTTCCATTTTTCCACTGTGCATATTATATGTAATGTATTAGTGATGGATCAAATCGAATTTTTAGTTGCAAATTTTATTTTTATCCTTACTATCAGTTATTTATCAGTTATTTTTGTGTTTTTGTGATTTTTAAAAATAACTATAATTGTATGTATTTATATGAATTTTCTTTACAATACTGATTCGTTATTTTGAACTTAGCCTTACGTGATAAAATAAATTGAGAGAAAGGAAATAGTAGAATGAAGTTTCCATTACGATAATTTGATCTCATATGGCCAATATCCTCAGGTCATTATAATATAATTTAACATCTGTCAAATGCTTTAAGTATTATGATTTTTCCAAGTATGTAAGCATTTCTCATAAATTTTGTTTTTCGCTTCCTGAAAAAATTTTATTTTTGTAAAAATATAATTTTGTAAAATTATTTGAAAAAAATATACGTTTATGGTTATATTCAATTTTTTTTAAATTTAAAAAACATTGAATGATTATTTATTATTGGTTTTACAGCTCTCACTATTACTATATAGTTAAGTTGACCACAAGGATAAAACGTTTCCAAACTACACAATTTGATGCAATCTTGGATAAATAATGGAAGGGTTTTCGTCTAAATGGACATTTATGATTTGACAAAGGGAATTTCGGACGAATTTGTGCAGTACTTGAATTTATGCAGTAGTGTTTGGGAAAGTCATCCATCATTTAAACATTATTATAATATAAATAAGCAAATAAATTTTTGGTTAGCTATATCTATGGAAATTCCCTATATGAAAGCCAAATTCATAAAAAAAATATTCTGAATATTTTTCTAAATAAAAATGGTACTAAGCGGCATTAAAATGAATAAATTCGCTGCTAGACTTCAGTATAATTTATCCCTCGTGCGTAGTGTGATTTCGGCTTTCCTAGTAAATTGATCGCTAAAAAATCCTCAAAAGTGGTGACTTGGTTTTCAAAAACAAATACGGACCTTTTTTTTTTAAGAGTCCTCACCATCACTGGTTAAACTTGCTCCGCTGGATTGTCGCAATGGATAAATATGCCAGGGAGTCCCTCGACGATAGAAGTGCAGATGAGTCGCCAGCATCACCCGGATTTTTGGACAGATTTATTCCTGCTGGAAATCAAACCTTAGTATCGACGAATTTAGCAACAACCCACTGAGCCGTTCTATCCTTCGTTGGATTTGTAGCGAATATACGGCAAAAACCAAAAGGAACTTATGAGAAGTCTAATTCAAAGAAATGGTTCATTAAGTTCCATTTTAAAAAGAGGAAAAATTAGCAAGGCGATCAAAAAAATACAATAAAAATACGATATTTCAATTTTCATGTTGTATTAATACTATTCCAATCCATATATTAAAGAATTAAAGAAATCCATAATAGTTGGAGTGATAACTTGGAGTGATAACTTGTAGCGATAAAATATATGGAATGGATGAAGTTGGTTAAATAAATGAACACGAGATATTGAATAAATAGGACTTTGCTAATTAAAATATCCATAAAAATTTAATTAATATTTCAAAAATGTGAAATCTAACTAAAAATAATTAAGTGAATAAGTGATTGGTGTTTAGTATAAGTGGTTAGTATTTCTGGTTAGATTCGCTCGACTGGCTATTATTTTCGTAGGCACCAAAAAATTTTCTGAGAATGCCAGTTAGGACCGATCATTTTTGCATCAGTCATCTCGATAACGATTTATTGGCAGTGATTTTCATCGGAAATTAGAAATTGATTTCAATGAAACAAGTTTATGTGAAAACAAGTAGCAAGTCATTTTTTTTCTAAATATGTTCTTATCAAATCTTATCAAATCTGTTTTCGCTTTTTTTTCGCAAAAAAATGATTTCTAATGGATGAACGCTTAAGATAAGATCGAAAATTTCGAATTTTCACTTGCTGGTAAACATATTAAACAGTGGACATTGCTTTTAAAAACCGGATCCGGAATTCGTCATCCAGTTAATCACTAATGGACGAGTTCTCTCATGAAAATCGACTAAAATAATAAAGAGAATTAACCAAAGTGCAAATTATCGGCTCAACTATTAAATAAAGTGAAAGCTATGCAAATTACCATTTCTCGCTCGGTTTTTGCCTAAGATATTAGGATTACTTTTTTTTCGTTAGCGATTCACTCATGGAATTATCGGGATATATAGTTTTGCTTAATCTTATGCGAAGTACTATTAGGTGCCAAACATTTAGAACTATATGAATCTATTATTTAAAAATTCGTCAAGTGGACTATCCTAGCGAAAATTTCTCATCGTATTAACAACCACTGGAACCAACCTAATAAACTAACTTAATGGTGAATCACATAATTATTTAATTTGCATAAATTATAAAATTATATAAAATTATATTATTCGCTAATTTTACTAATTTTAGTTGCAATTTTTTCAATAAAGTATTTTTCGCACTTTAATGAAAAATTTCTTTTTATATAACTTTTATAAATATAACATTTTTTAATTTTTCATGATTATTCATGATGAATAATTATTTTTTGAATTACTAAACAAAAATTTTAAAGAAATAAATAAATCCTAAAATCTCATAAGAAAAAGTGCGACCTGAAATGAGTAAAGTTTTTAGCGTGCAAAGAGCTTTTCTTTTTGCCTTAGAACGCTCATTATTTTTATGGTTAAAGTCGCTCTACTGGTTTGTTCCATCAAATAAAACTAATACTGACACCTTAGCTGTTGAATACAGTACTTATATATATATTTTTACATAGCAAGCAAGCAAACGAATTTTTGAAAGAACTGATTTACTTCATTCGATTCATTCGATATGAGTGGAACTTCTTGCATCGATGCACCAATATGAGAACCTATTGAACCATTAAGCCTTCAATATCTTTGAATTTTAAGCATTTTCAAGAAAATAACAAGAAATCGTTGCAAACCAGAAAAATTATTTATAGCATTTTCGCCGTTATTTAATTGCATTTTTGAAGAGATTGAAATATGCTTGAATTGAAATTATCTTAGTTCATGTGAAAATTTTTCATTCACCTTCATTCGGCGTACCGATCCTCTTCGATCGCTAATCAATTCAGTACATTTATAAATTTCGCTATTTCGCAAATAACAATGCAGAATAATACCGTAGGTTTTTTTTTTCTAAAAATAAAATTATTTAAATGAAATTTGTTCGAAGAAAATTTATAGTAGTACTATTAGGCCCTTGATGATGCTCACCTGTAATATTCTCGCCAAAGCGACTCCTTCGCATAAATAGTTGTCTATTTATGTATTGCGAGAAGCCAGTGAAGCGAGTCTAACCAAGAACGATGAACTTCTTCTTTTAAAAAGACGAAGCAAGCAGGAAAAAATGAAAAATAATTTTTTGCACCTATCGAGTTTGTTATTCAATTTGAGAATATTTGAACATTCTTCTAATAGATAGCACTAACCATTTCTGATTTGGCTATTTCTCAGTTGCCAGAAGAATCTCTCCTACTAGCATCACTCAGATTTCACTTGGAGGATAATGGAGAGTTCCGAAAAGGCAAAGCAAAAATTCATGTTTGATGCCAGTTGAAGATGTGAATAAAGCCTCCCTTCTCTTTTTTCATATTATTATTTATGAATTCGACAAATTCGTTTGCCATTTGGTGAAATTTATTTATTAATTTTTTTCTCCTTTTTCAAAATCAGATTAGATTATATGAACTGATCCAAAAAAAAATTCAAAAAATGAAGAGGAAAGGGAAAGAGAGCGGGGAAATAAGTAGAAGGAAGTTATAGAATTGTGGATCAAAATTTTATCAAATATGCTATTCTCTCTGATCTTCCTAATTCCTATTTGCGGTAAAATGGTCGAATAAATAATCAAAAAAAAAAAAATTGAAAGCTTCAATCCATAGTCGCAGCAAATTCACTGTTAAAAGTCTATCTATTCCTGTAATAAAATATCTTCAACGTTAGAATAACCGTTGTCCATATTTTCACATTAAAAATCATTTGGCTTTTTTTTAGATATTTATGTTATTTAATAACTGATAAATTTTAATTAATGGCGATTCGGAATGGTTCAGTGAATTTTGGTATCAGTTTTATAGCGCCAATGCTGGAGTTCTGCTCCGAACAGGGATGAACTTTTCTTGAATGAACAAAAAAAATGAATGGATTAGGCGGTATAAAACTGGACGATTTAGTTTCAGGAAGGGCATCAGATCGGGATAATCCTACCTTAGTAATCATTGAAATCAGCCAAGTATTAGAATAGTTTAAGTAAGGATTTTGTGCGTATGAGCCGAACAATAAACACAGTTGGTTTACTGGCAAGTGCAAAGAATTTTTGTGATAAATACTGTAGTGAAATGAATAAATACTTTAGAATATTCTTGACTAATTCCTTTCCTATTTGCTCATTTTTGAAAAACTTCTTCTGATAGCAATCATCATTTCTGGTTTAACTCAACGAATTAGCTATTAGAATGAGAAATGAGACCTCTTCCACCAGAAAGGGCATACCTGATTGCAAGTGGATTCTAGGTACCACCGAGATTTTATTTTACCTATTAAACCTATTTTTAAGTTAACTTATCTGCTACTTGTTATTCAAGGAAGGATACTGTGTAGAGATAAATGACATCCTAAATGCATCCTGAAATTCATCGATCTTATTTCATTTGTCTTTACCATAAGTGTAGATAATAATCGTAAATGTAGTCTTTTTATTTTTGATGTTGTAATATAATATATATAATATATAATAATATATCATAATTTTTAAAGCTATTGTTTTATTAATATTAATTTAGCTAATTAAACGAATTTCTAGCAAAGCGATTGTTGGATAGCGATTATTGTCGTATCAGCGGCGATTATTTCAACATTTTTAACGTTATTACTTTCTGGTTATTTCTATACGGGATTAAAATGTCTATCAAATGATAAGAAACACACCGGATTTTTTGGAGAACAGGTGTTTTTTAAAGTCAAA